ACGAGTCTGGGGTCTGGGGAGGAAGAAACCACAATATGGTCAGCTGCCGTAAGAACTGTTACCCTCAAAATAATATAGCACGTGACAAATAAAAGTGTATATATTAAAGGTTTGCCCTGAAGCTGTGTTGCAACCATATGAAAATCTGAGCCCGGATTCTGTGGCATTGAAGTTGCATATTATGACAAGACTTCAACCATATTTTACCAATAGTTTCACACTGAGCACAGATCAGCTTTTCATGCTCAAAGGCTGATCTGCAGCCACAACAGATCATCCACACCCACAGACGATCTTTTCACACTTGTAGAAGAGCGAAACAGCAGGAGAAACTGAAAAACAAAGAGGGGGGGAGGATGTGGGCAACCAAAGAGCAGTGGCGAGTGCCTGCACACAGAGCAGAGAGGATGGGTGCAGCCAAAACGGCCTCGTCAGCTGACTTCAGGGACTGTTCTCATGGCTGTGGTTCTCACTCTGTAATGGCTATGCAAGCACCAGATAGTCCCTCCCTCCCACCATCTCGTAGCAACTTCCTTCTCTGCAAAAGTGCAAACTAATCTTCCAACAGACACAATACTAATTAAAATTAAAAAAAAAAAAAAGTTATGTTCAGTAAAATCTGACAAATCAATTGTAAAGTTCTACATTCCATTCATTTCTTTGTGAGAAAACAGCTTTGATTCAAACTTGCCAGCATTATTATGTTCACCCAGGTACACTTTTCATCTGGAGCTGACCTGAGTGGATTTGTCCTTTCGAGAGAGGCTGCTCTGGCCCTCTGGTTCTTTCGGCCAGTGTCCCTGCAGGTACGGTCCGATGATGGCATCGAGAGACATCGTCCGTCTCATGCCAGAGCTCAGCTGTTGCGATTTGGTCTTTCCAGCTGTCAGTATCAGAGGCAACTTTTCATTTTACATGTAGCAAGAGGTTAAAATTATCTTTGATTTTTTTTGTTTTCATCAGTTAGTAAAAGAACTGTTGAATTTTGAGTCAACATAGCTTTGAGTTCTTACACTTAATAAACTGTTATTTACACCTACATAATCAGAAAACACATATTGCTGTTAAAAAGTGCTATATGTAATATGAACAAGCTTTAAGATAATTTGTACCACCACTAACAACATCTATAGCTAAAATGGGATGGGAAATTCATCCGCAACCATTCTGAAAATAGATTAATAGTTAGGTTGTTTTTTACAAATGAAAAATCACAAAAACATTTCCAGCCTCTCAAATATGAGGATTTCCTGTTCTATTTGTCTGTTATGGCTGTAAAGTGAATATCTTTGGGTTCAGAGCCAGAAACCTGAAGCCATCACCTTGGGCTCTGACAACTTCTATCCTTATATTTCATAGTCCAAAAGATTAATTGATAAACTGACATGGTATTTGCCAGATTTATTCATAATGAAAATATGTTTTTGTGGAAGCCATAATCATATCTATAGAGCAATATCTGCTAGGTTGTGTCATCTGCATTACTATATTTCCATACATTGTCATATTATTTATGTCCATTTCATTTCTTGTATGTATGACAGTATGACAGACAAATGTATTAATTTAATAGACACAGCTAAATCTACATAGAAAACAATACAACACACAGCTCTAACAATGAATGAATAGTTGATAAGTGGTTGTCAGTTGATAAATTTGTTTTGGAATGTACTGACTTCCATGTTGACAATAGTTTATGACAAGACATTACTACACGTTTCAGTAGGGCTTTACTTGATCATCTATTTCAAGTTTGAATAAGTTTAAGTATTTTACTAGTAAACCCAGAAGCGGATATAGCTGGTGTGAAACCATGTAAGGCTGTATTTATGTAGTCCACAGTGTCTAGTTTTTTACATTTTCTATCGTGGCATCACAGTTAAGCCTATACATATTTATCCAGAGAAAACAGCTGTATGATCCATAAAGTGTGGCAGGTGTTAGGCTCATACCTGACTTTCCATCTCTCCGGTTTGATCGAGGTTTGCTTGCCAGCTGATAGGGGATGGTGGCCTTGAGGGGCTGTGGACCCAAAGCAGCTCCCCGGGTCTGTCCAACTCCACTTCGGCCCGACATGTTTGCCGTAACAAACCTGGGAGCACTCTGCTTCTCACTGACTGGAAATTAGCAGTGGATGTCCTGCCTGAGAGAGCTGTGGGGGCGCTCTGTGGAAACACTGGTAATGGCTGGCTAAGTTACCAGCTGCAACTCTTCCTCCTCTGGTGATGATGACTACTCAAAACCGTTACAAAAGTCGGGCTTGACTCATACAAATAATCATTTCCAAGTCAAATACAACTACCAGCAACACGTAGCTCGACAGATGAAACGTGACTAACAGCTTGTGTTCTAATCTTCGGCGGTGATCATACTTTTTTTCTGGCTTGTGTGCGAGTTAGCAGCCTAGCAAGCAAAGTTTCTTTGTGAGGATGTTGAGATATTTCACCCTGTTGTCGAACAAGGAAGCAATTCCAGTTTCAAAAAGTCACTTTAACGTCAACTCCTACGTCTTCTGAGCAAACCTTGAAGTATATTTCATTGTACTTCTTCGGGCTGGAGCGTGTTTTGGTGGCCTACAAGGTTTCGAGGTGGTCACAGTTTCTTTGGCCCTCCGCGTTCTTGTTTCAACGCAAACTCCAAACACTTCCACCACCACCACCACGCTGGTGTGGATTTAATTATGTAGAGGGCGGTACCAGCTCTGTGTCTCACTTTTCATTGGCTGGTGGAGTCATCGACTTCAATCGTATTGGACAATCGGCCATCAATCCGTCAAACCTCGGACAATGAAATTTGCTGTCACCGCCTCCAATTTATATCACATATTAACCGATTTACGCCACCAAGTATGTGTTGAAATATCACGTAAAAACCTCCAACGTCTGAAAACTGACAGTTTCGATTAATCGTGACACTAAAAATCCATTGACTACTTTTTAAAACTTCATTAATGGTTGAAGTTACTGTAATTTACCATTTTAAGATAACTCTGGTGGCATAGTTTATCTTGCAATTACAAATGATCATTGCTGGAAGACGGTAGACTTCAACACGTAAGTAAAAGTGCATAAGTAAAAGTACAAAAGTATTATTATACTATTGATGCATTAATGTAGGCTATAAGCATCACTAATATTGCAGCTGGTAAAGGTGGGGCTAATTCTAACTACTTTATGTGCTGCAAGGGAGCTTAACATATTATAACACATCTTGTTTTTTTTAACTCATTATATTTTGCATTAATAATCTTAATCTGCAAAGAAACTAAAGATGTACAATATATGTAGTGGAGTAAAAAGTGCAGTATTCCCCTCTGAAATGGGGGTGGGGTAGAACATAAAATGGAAAATACTCAAGTAAAGCACAAGTACCTCAACATTGTTCTTAAGTATTGTAATTGAGTAAATGTAATTAGTTACATTTGCCACTGTAAATCATGCAGCCATTGTGTTTATTGAACACTGTAGAGGTTAAATGTATTTTCCCCACTTCTCCTTGTAAGCATGGGTTTCTTTTCATTTTAGCACAGTCTGGAAGTGACTACACAGCTTCGGAAAATTTTCTGATTCGTGCAATCTATCCCAGTGAGCATCAAGTCAACATTCATTTTTGTCAGTGTTACATAATCTTTGAATGGTGATGCAATATCAGAGCGGCTTGATTTAAAAAGTTTGCACTGCATTACCTCCCAATGGGATTTGACAACAATTAATGCAGACTTGATGTTCACTTGAGGGATTGCACTACTAAGGCAAGTTTCAAGAATCCACTAATAGAGTTTCACACCATACGATATGAATGGAAACTCATTGGATACCTAACAACAGAAAAATATGATTAAATGACTACAACCCCGCATGACTTGCAGAATAGATGTAATGTAATGTATATTTGATCTGTGGTAAATGGGCTACACCATACAAACCATTGGTATGGTCTTCTAACTGTTCATTTATTCATTTATATATAATTATTTCATCATACTATCATGAGATCTATTAAATCACCCCAGCTGGGTGTGTGTGCACCATCTGGGTGGACTGTGAGTGGTTTAGGGTGGTGTGCGTGCATGTGTGAGACAGTGTGCATTGTGGGAGATAAATGTCCTGACTCTGTAAAAGGGAGTGCCAATGGTGGGACAAGAGAAGGGGGAAAAGATAACATGACATGCACTTTTACAAACAGATCCTAGACCTGTGCTAAGGCTCCCAGTGTCCCTTCACTCAAACCAAATGTGCACTCACATTCGTGGGACCTCAGCCCATTCTTAGATAACACGCTCGTGTGTCTGGCACACCAGAATGGGAGTGAAAGTGCTTTATCACAAAAGGGTGAAGTGCTGAACCGTGTGTCCAGCAGCCTGCTCATCTATCTAGTGCAACTGCACCCAACAATTGATGTCACTTTCACAAAACAGCCAAAGACAAAACCATATAACTAATCCCAACTTTTCACAACCCCTTGGCATCCACTTATTTACAGCTAGGCAGATAATTGGACAGTATGTTGATCTGGAATGTGTCCCCTACATAATGCATTTCCAACGTTTACCAAAGGACCTTCAGCTGCTGTTTGTTTAGCTCTGTGTATTTGTCTGTGCTAATGAATGAATGATCCTAACCTATGACCTCACGTAGGCTATTTCAAACTCATTTGAAGAGAGACGATGTCATGCTTCACAAAGTTAAGCTACAAAGGGGAGACATGAAGACAAAAGGTGACCGAGGCGCAGGGGGAAAGAGGGTGTGTTGGGTTTCTTGGATCTACAGTAAGTGAAACTGCTGTGATCTCAGCTATTCATTTAGAGCAAATTTTATTCTGTTCCCTATAGCCTGCTGTTTTTGTGTTTTCCTTTTTTTTTCAGTCAGGTAGTCTTAATCTGACACAGCTAGTTGCACACACAGTTGAATCCCAAAGAGCACTAGCATGGATAAACAATAAACATCCACTGCACACCATCTTTTAATGTTTCAAAAAAAGGCAGTTTTATTGCAGTTTTAAATAACACAACATATCCCAACTCTCAACAACACTGCATGAGATTGCAATTTACATGATGGTAAAATGATACAAGTAAGTATGCCATGAAATGAATTATAACATAAAAAGAAAAGATCACAGGAGGAAAAAAGTGAAGACAAAAAACCAAATGACACGCACACGCACGTTGCACATTCACTATTTCTCTGCTGCTCAAACTACTCTATCAAGCCAGGTTTGTAGAAAAAGACAATGGAAACATTCACTCTGCATAGTCACAATGCACTCTGCATTTGTATGCAATAGATTTAACGCCTGTTTGTTTTTTTATGTTCACATTGTAGTGCCTCTGCAAACCTTGGTAGCCTGACAGGTCTTGTGTGTCACATCCTAAAATCTGTATCTAACCTACTGTATGATTGAATAAGGCCTAAACCATCATTCATCCTTATATCATAAAGCTGCGTCTGTTAATTTTTAAATAATCTTCATCATAAAACACTCTGGCCACATTTTGACTCAGCATATTAAAGGCCTCTCTTTTTTTTTATCTCTTCCCATCCCCTTATAATAGTGTAATATAATATGGCAAAACATTCTGTCTGTTTCCTAAAAGGTTATAACAGCTCACCTATCCTGCCAGTATTATGCAACAGGCAGAATAAGATACAGAGACAGACTGATAAGACACAGACAAATGGACAGGTACATACACAACATCCCTACAGTGAGTTTTGAAGAATGTGACCAGTACAGATACATTACTGTAATCGCACAAAATCAAGTGTCATGATGTAAGAGAGGTCAAACTTGAACCAGTTGTTTGCATTCCAGGAGGCTTAATCATGTCAAGACAATAAAAGACAGTGAAAGTGAAGGAGGCCATCAGGCAGTACAGCAGCTATTCCTGCATCTTTGTTGGACAGTCCCAGACAGGGAGGCTACTCTTTCTCAAACGCTTAAAAGGTGTAAGTTGAGAGAGTGCAAAGGTAAAGGGACTCACACACAAGGGCCACGAAAGAGAGCACATTTGTCCGCCTATCAGAAGTAGTCTTTTCTTTGTTTTCATGTTGAATTGTCTCAGTCTGTGAAGTGGTTGGCAGTGTTTCTTTGGCGCCCCCTAGCTGGGAGAGAGGGCGGGACTGTTCTCTGTGCTGATGTTTACCAGGCACTCGCTGGACTTGAGGCTAGCCAGAGACTTGCAGCTTGGGAGGGAGGCCAAGGATCCGCACAGGCCCATCATGGAGGGTGTGTAGTCCTTCTCTAAATGGGTGGGACGGACATAAAAAGGGAGAGTCAATTAAAGTGTTGATGTGCGTCATTAACTCATGAAAACACAGTGTGGTAAAGTCACTATGTAACTGTTTAATATGTCACCTGTGCACCAAGCTCCTCCGTTCTGTTTCCCCTCAATCCTCTGGGAGTCTGAGTCCAGGCTGACCTCCACCGACAGCAGCTCTGTGCTGGGGAAACTTCTCCTACAGGTCAACAGAAGGACAAGTCCAGAGTTAGAATGGTTGTGAATTACAAAGTTGATTGTTGATTGTATTTCACTTTGTTTTTTTTTTATAATGTCTTGTTACATATGCTGAGTGCGGAGTGAGCAGTAGTAGTAGCTCTGCTTGGCCATACTCCTGCTAATACACAACAGCATAATAACCTTTTAAATGTTATCAATTTATTTATGATTAAATATGGTCAAAAACTATAACTATTCCAGTGACATACTCCTGGCTACTGGCTATGTGTCTATCTAAATACAGTAATTATTGTGTCAAAAGTATGTGTAGGGAATGTGATGTACCGTTCATGTCTATGGGCTACATTATACACCTAAAACAATCTCTGAGAGAAGTAAAAATGAACAGTGTTAGATGGCACATCCTTGTCAAATTACAAAATTATTTTCTTGTATGATGTTTGGTGACAACACAATGGAGTATTTTTTTCAGTTATTGCCATGAAGAGACAAAAATCATCGATAACACAAAACAGTTGATCTACTCGTGTTGCGTGTGAGAGACAGAGACTCAGTTAGACCTGCGGAACAACTTGACATCGACTTGGTTGTTGTATGGCTGGAGCGTCGGCCACTGGTTGACCAGTGGGATCGAAAGGTTTTTGTCCAGGTGATTGGAGTCACATGGAATCAAGCTTGTCCTGACAAACACGAGGGTACAATATGAGGCAAGAGTTCAGCTGTGTTGATGACATTACAAAGAATTAGTTAAATCCACACTTCTGGCAAAGGCGTGCCTCAAACATTTACTGGAAATCATAAAATCTCCAAAATCTCATTCTGATATTTAGCGCCAAGCCCCAGAAAAAGTACACACTTCAGTGTTTTGACTATTCTCTGCTTACTATTTTAAATTATGCTGTAAATGATTTTTCACAAAACCTTGTGTCTTTGCGTTGCATCACTAATATACTGGCGAATAAGGGGAGGTGAAAACTGGACACAACCACATGTCTGTTGCACTCACAGTTGCTCCTGAAGTTCCAGGACTATGGCCTCAAGTTCCTTCTTTTCCTGTTGGCTCTGGCTCTGTAGCTCCTCCAGCCGGGTCTTTAGCCTCTTGTTCTCACTCTCTGTGTTCTTCAGCTGTGACTCACGTAGACGCACAAGCTCCTCCAGGTAACCCTGACAACACACATCCACACTGAGCGAAAAGGAAATATCCACCCTCAGCTGACTCATTTGCACTTAATTTTCTTTTACGGATCAAACAAACAAGATATAACTTGTTAATTAGTTGGAACTGTTCCTTCACATGATATTTTCCTGAGTATGTTCAAACACAAAAAAAAGATGGCTGCTCACCTTCTGAGCATTGACAATCTTGAACCTCTGCTCCATCTTGCGACACTTTGTGCTCCAGCTTTCCTCATCGGTGACCAGGGGGATGTAGGGGTGTTCAGGGACACTGTCGTCACTTGTGCTGCTGTCGACACTCCGCTGATCGTCATCATCACTCAGGTAATCGTAGCTACAACAGAAGCAGTTAGTTTGATCCAGCATCTAACTGACTTTGTATGTAAAGTGTCTGAAACAGTAGGAAGATTATACAGGTTTTGACAGAGCCTTTTCTCTACACTGTCAATCAATATACCTCTGTGTGAATTTCAAGTAAGGTGTGTAATCAATCACTGCAGAGGACTTTCCATCCAAGGCCTCTCCTTTCAGACAGAAACTGTGGAGAAGAAACCACACAGAAATAAGACAAAAAAAAACCTACATATATCCAAATGTTACTGTATAAAGGTTAAGTTAGAGGTCAAAGTTCACCTAAAGTCTATGGCTCCAAGACCTATGAGCATCCCTGTAAGGACTGTGGCTTCTTCTCTTAACATGATGGCTCCTTCTGCATAGAACCTCCTAAAGCGCACAGACAGATACAAGCATTGTGGGAACATGGCTCCAGTAGGGACGGGGTGATACAGCCGTACAGTGAGGCGTCTCTTACCTGGTTGTTCTGCTGTCCCTCAGAGCAGTAGCGATGTATTCAGACAGCCTCTTCTCCATCAGGGCTACTCTCATCCAGGCTCGGCCCTGTAGGAGTGTAAGACATTAACGCTTTCACCAAGACACATGTTTGAACAGCATCTGAGAAATAAGATGAAAAGTGCTGCATTACCCAAAGTTGCTGTAACTCTGAAAAAGGTCATTATGGTACAGTCTACAGCAGTCAGTTGCCTTGTGAATCTTTAATGAGCTTTGAGCATCATTGTTGTATGCACTGGAACTCTCCCTTTAATGTTTCTCTCTCTCTCTCTCACTTTATTAATATAATCAATTATAACATTATCATCGTTGCCATAACGATGTAGGACTTGCCTTGGCTCGAGAGGTGCTGATGTTTTCCATGCTCTCAATGCTGCTGATGCAGCTGTTGGGGACTTTAGCACAGGCCAGGCGGACGTAGTCCCAGTAACTCCTCTGACCATCGAACCAGCTGCCGGAGCCTAAAAAGAGAAAGTAACATGAATATCAGATATTGTGTAAAAAGTGTGTTACTCTCAGTGTACAGTGGAGTCCTCAGCCAACTGGTGCAGCTCAAGTGTGGGTGGTTTTACAGAAACAAGACTAAAACAGCTGCTGTTGATGGAGGACATCCACAGTTTTTGCCTCCCACGCTTTTTGTTTAAAAACTCAGAACAAAAATTCATGCAGAGATAGTACAACAAATCTAGCATTTTTCTTTATGTATCAATTTTAGTATTGACATTTGAATTATATTGATTCCACTTAATGTTTATGTGTATAAATAATAAATGAACATGACAAAACGTGCATTGTGTTTTATAAATATAAATTTTCAATGACAGCATTTGAAACTGTTCTATATCATTTATTTCTTTGGTGTAAGCTGCCATTCAATAACGTACTTTTTCTAACATGCAGTCAATCTCTATAGATGTTCTTATAGGTTCATTACCTTTAAAACGGTGGCTGAGGATGTGTTCAAGGATGGCTGCGAAATTTATGAACTCCTCAGATGAATCATCGATGGGCTCGGCTGTGTATTTCTCCAACAGCGTCTTTACTGAAAACCTATATGTGGTAGAGAGAAAGAAAGAGAGAAAGAGAAGGTTGGTTGCCAGTAATAAAATCATTATGGGAATAGATTAGTGAGGAAAACAGATTAACGGATTACTGCTTTCTTTGATTCTGTTTACAGTAGGAGGAACACGTCATAGATCAAACTATTATTCCACTTTTTTGTATCTGTACTTTATAAAATGAATTCAGCAAAACAAAGTCAGTGATAATAAAACCTGTAAAATGGATAAAATCAAAAGCAAATTAGCCAGAATCCAAATGGTATATGTTAACATCCATCCTTTGTGACTGTTTGTGGGTGTAACTATGTCAACGCTCACACTGTGCTATCCATTTTCCTGCTGACTCTCATTTCCACAGTTGAGCCGGATGTCACCCATTTACAGTCAGGAAGATGTTTGGGGAGAGCTTTCAGGAAGCTCCAACAACTCAATTTATGTTTTACTGGACAGCTTGAAGTTATGACTCTATTCTGATGTAATATATTCATGGTTGTTAAGATGCAGTCCTGTGATGCACATCTCTGTATAGCCTACTACTAGTACATTTTGGTGTACATAAATATATTTAGCAATTTCAGCCAAATGCCCAGCATAAACAGTTTAAGACATACAATAGCTACAGTGAGGAGAAAAAATATTTGGAATAGAATTCAATTTCCACTTGCAAGAGTGAGGAGGAAAGGGCAGAAGATCTCCAGAGTTGTTAGGATTCATCCTCTGGCCACCATCAATGTCTGTACCAAAATCCATGGCAATCCAGTAGTTGTTAAGATATTTCAGTCTTGATCAAAGGACTGGCCAGCTGACATTGCCATCCCTAGGTAGCTAGCGTGGCTAAATATTTAAAAAATAATTAATATATGCACTGGTGTAACAATAAACCTGCATAATTAAAGGTTTGAAGTCAACTGGGGTGACCACCTGCCATAATACATGCACCATAGACCACAACCCCCGTGTTCTGTGAGACTTAAAATTCTATGATTTATTTCAGGCGACCTCATCCTTCTCATGAAATGACTGCTCCTAAATATCCTCCTGGAGACTAAATAATTCAGCGGGGCTATTTGCTCCAAGAACACCTGCCAAATGCTGTTTGTCCAGTGACAAAGTGATATGCTGTGTGGTGAAAGGGGCCATATGGACCATATAACTCCTAGTAGAAACGGCCCTGCAGAGACCACATAAAATAGTCATGTGCAATGTCAGATTTGAAGACAATTTTCTCAATACTAGATGCAGCGTAAAATAATTTCAGATAGTTATTGGTCATGTTTTGCTGAGTTTGGAATCACTAAGTTTAAGTTTCAGTAAAAGACATCTGAGCACTTTATAGTTCATGCACAGTCAGTTTGTGTGGTGTGTGAGTGTGTGTCCATAAGACAATGCTTATCCTAACTCAAGCCATGAGGCAAGTGATTTCACTCCCCATTGTTCCAAAGGCAACAATGTCTCATTGAGCTGCTCTGACTGTGGCCAGATACTGGACAATAATTGGTTGACTATCCTCAAAACGAGCACAATCCCCTGTGTATTCACTGTATTACAGACAGCAGGGCCGTGACATGACCCAGATACACCTGACAGTGGCTCAGCAGAGGTGCAGACTTGTTCACATGTGCAAATGTCAGAATGTGCGTGTGTGATATTGGTGGGTGTTTAATAGGTGTTACTCCCCTTCAAATCTAATATGATAAGGATATACTGTAGACTTGACACGTGACTGGAGTCCACATGTCCATCTTGTGGACTGCAGTCACATGACTTAGGTTCGAAACAGACCCATGAAACAAACTCTAGTTGACTTGAATCGTGGCAGAACGAGCCGCAGAGACAGAGCAGACATGCAACCCCGGCCAACTTTTGAAACTTAATTTTACAATGAAGGAGATGGTGAAGAGATCTGACATAAATCATTTCTTGCTTATATTTTTCTGCATTTTTTGTTTTATTTGGAAAAAAACATAAATTTAATTCATCATTACAGTGCAGTTTTTGATGTGTACCCATGACTCTTAAAACATGAGCCATGTACTACCATTTAATTCAAAATGTCAGAAAAAAAAAAACCTTGACAGTCTGTGTTCATTCTAAGCTACAATAACTGATTTATGGCCGATGATATGCTAATATGAAATGTTAGCATTAATTTGGAGTTTCTATTTACATAGCGAATGTAAGTCCTACATTCACTCTTGTTTTAGCTCCGGTTTGGTCTTCACCAAGTCTTGGTGGTAAATTTTTTGGCTGCTAATGCTCCATTATGAATTTTACGTTGCTAACCATGTCTATCTGTCATTTGGTGCCGGACAGGTGACGTACACTTGGTTTATTAGAGCGTTTTAGTTGAAAACAGCTGCCTGCTACAATGGAAAACAATGCTTTGAGGGCAGTGAGAGTGAAGCAAAACTTTAAAGTTACTGACCAGAAAACCAAAACAATGAGCTGAAAGATGATAAAACTATCAGTAAGGCCAAGGCCAACTGTAGGGTCAGGTGACAACAACACCTTTCACGTAGCATATAGTCATTTGATCCATTGTTGTTATAGAATCTATCAATTATTGCAGCTTTAAATTTGCTGCTACCAACTGTAGCTGTGGGTGTTTACATTTTGAAACAGAAGTCAGACTCATCTACAGCAGCATCTCTGGATCTGGCAGCAGTCTGCAGTTTTTTCTCAAGGTCTCCTCCATAAGGTGTAGCCTATACATAAATAAATGCCTGTCTGCTTAATCCCATCATAACTCATTAGTGAATGTATATGTTTGTGTTTGCTTAGGTGTAGCTTCACTGTGTGGCTCAGAGCTGTAGCCTACATGTCTACAGTATATGTCTGTCTACATCTCTGCCAAAAGGCGTTTAAGTACAAACCTTTATCCAACAGCCTAACAAGGTCCAATCAGGACTTGATGTATACTGCCTCCCTGCCCTGAGTCCCTGGGGTGCCAGCTAGTCCTTGCCCCAGGAAGGTTGTCGTCATAGCAACCACGCCATCAGCGGGTAGAAAATAAATCGCACTGACAAAGATGACAACGCTAAACTCACACTGAGAGGCCAGACTGTCCGTGTGCTGTCGGATTTTACATAAAAATAGTACTTGTCATGAAAGGTCGTTGGTGCACATACTGGCTTCCTGTTCGCACGGGCCCACTGTCGGCACAGAGTTCATTAAAATGACTTATTATAGGCTAAGGATGACGTAAACGTGGATGTCTTCTATACATTCACTGTCAGTGGTGAGAATGAAAAACACCAGGACCAACGTTAACAGACCAAATATAGAATAGCTTAATGCAGCATCTAGCCCAATAAAATCCCCACTCACATCAGAGCACATGCACCAAAACACACACACGCACGCGCGCGAGCACGCACGCATGCACACATACACAGTCTCTCTTTGACAATAAACTGACCTGCAGACGGTGACGAGGTTTTTTCTCTCCACCGCCACGTTCCTAGCCGACGCTTTTTTCGAGACATCTCCCATGGCCATCGCTGCCTGCACACAGCCGGACTCCATCCAGGAGGAGGAGGCAGCCCTGATATCAAAGGACCCCTCCCTGTCGGTCACCGGCTCTCCTCATTCACTTCTGGATGCCAGAGAGGATGCTGCCTGCTCGAGTCAGAGCAGCCTGGTGCATCAGAAAGGCCCGGACATGCAGTGATACTGTGTTGTTCTGTTTTTAATTATTACTCTCATACACCGAGGAGTCAATTACATCTGTGCTCCCTCTCTCGCCCTCTCTCTCTCTTCCTCTCTCTCCCTCTCTCCGCCTCTTTTTTGACCTCATCATGACGTTATTGGATCATCTCGCATCATGCAGACTGAACATGACGCATCATCTCAGCAGCTTCAGTGACATGTAGGTTACACTTTTACAGCTTTAAACGTGGCTGTAATATGTCTCTATCGTGCCTATAAGGACTAAAGTTGTTGTGCAAACGAGATATATATTCCCCATAGATAAATATCCAATATACTGACATACATGTAGTCCAAAAAACTATATGTCATTTATGTATCATATGCATATCAAACATTAAAGCCTCACATTTAAAGTGTTGTAGGCATCCTAAAGTTTCCAAGGATACCGAAGATGTCAGGATGAAATTTTGGGGGAAATATGTATAAAATGACGCAGACAACAATTTGACAATTTCAATTAAATGAAAAGGAGCAGCCATAAAAACACTGAGCCTTGTTAAACATTATATAGCAACGGTAAATAGTTAGAATAAGGTGATACAGTACATATGATACTGTGTGGAATAAGATGATTTTACTATAACTGCTATTTTTAAAATTTAAAAAGTATTTCTTACAGCATATACAGACTTTTTTATTCTATATTTATCAAAAATATATGTGCTGTATAATCATATGTTGTAAATAAAAAGGAATAATAAACTGCCCTGCATATATTCCACTATTCTTATTTTCAATGCATGTTTTCTCTTGAAGAAACAATAAACGCACCTATATTTTATGACCATCATGTGTATCCGTCCATCACAGATCTTTCTGTACCTGTACACATTGTGATTCTACTGTATGCTATGACAGAAAGTTCAGCTTCTGAAAATGGGTTTACAGTACTATAAGGGTGATATCATCAGCACCACCGCTGCAGTCATCATGCTGGATCATATCTTGCCTCTGTAATTTCCGATCAGCCTCCTCTTCATTCTCCTCCCTCTCCTCTCTTTCCTCTGCCCGCTACCAGAAGAGACTGTTTGCTGTGTATCTGGAGCCTGAACCAAGGTGAACTGAATCAGCTACAAAGTGCCATAATAAGCTAATGGAGACACTTTGGTCCCAAATCTTTTCCCCTCTAATGAACTGACAGCTGGTTGCCGCCATACGTTGTTGGGTGGGGGTTGTGTCTTTTTTTTTTTTTTTCCTGGTGCAGGAGTAATCACTCATGCATATCTGTGTCTGGTGCTCCATATGTGTCCATGCTTCATATTCCTGTTTTGAGAATGTCAGAGCTGTGAAATGTCTAACTAACCTCACCTCCTTCAGTGTCACAGTAATACCCCAGAAGAAAAACAAACAAACAAGCAAGTCACACTATGTTCCATAATAATTGAGAATTATTTTTTCATTTCTAACAGTGACCACGTTTGTTAGCGGTTTCATTTCATACGTGCTTATAGGAACAGACACACACATACACACACGCATACTATCGCTAGATAACTGGTTCAGCTTCCACTAAATCTAATTTGACTTTTCAAGTTGCAGCAATCATGGAGGACATTTTTGTTTTTGCAACAGGGGACAGACCTTTAGTAGCTTCTGCAATCACCTGAAGAGACAGGCCAGTAATTTAGTGTTGCACCGCCACAATAATTAGAGACTGCCAAGTGCAAGATTTTCTCCTTGTTCTGGGCATCCAGTAACGTTGGTGACACATCTGTTGTAACTAATGTCCCTCTGCTGATTGTTACAATAAGTTACTAACTGCCTTAAAGTTTGGTGCATGTTTGCAATGAAGAATAAGTTTGACATTTCAGGGAGAATGAAAGAAAATGTATATTTTATTACTTTAGATAGCCAACATTAATAAACGTGTTGTATTATGTGTGTTTATGTTGTAAATGTTTGCATGGACTTTTTTTTCACCCTGAAACAACAAACAAAGCTTTTTACACACAGAGCTTAGAAGTGAATAAATTATTTTCTTTCTCCTTAGTTCAGTTCAATTCACTTTATTTAAATTCTCAAGGCATAACTCCCAAAACATGTATTAAATTATCATAGCTATCTTACCCTGTACATATCATATAAACACAGAACAGCAGTCTGGACACCTAAACAGCCCTAAAATATTTACAAGCACACTTTCCTGCCTGTTGATCCTGTGAATACTGCTGGCTTGTGCTGCAGGTTTGTCACTCACACTCAAGGTCTACAAACAGCTCAGGTGCTTCTTGCTCCGAGGCCCGAGGCCCGAGGGGAGTGTGTGAAATTCTGGACGGTGTTGTGAAGGCATTCAGGGCAGAGGTTAGACGGTAAAAGGATTTTGGGTTTGGCCTGCGAGGGGCAAAAGGTTTGTGTATTAGCCCTCAGGGTCCCGTCTGACGGGGCTGAGTAGACAGCAGTGGACAAAACAGCAAAGGTGCAGAGGGAGTCGCTACCTGTCTGGGCCTGACTAAATGTTAAAAATAATCAAATTGGGACAGTTAGCATGTCAGGCTAACTACTGGAATAATATTTATAATGTTTCCTCCATCATAGATGTGTGGCTGGTACCTAAAGGTCAATATTTGGAAAAGGGAGGATCACTACAGCAGATTCAGAGACAGTGGCTGCTCACACACACACACACACACACACACACACACACACACACACACACACACACACACACACACACACACACACACACACACACACACACACTCACTCACACACATACACACATGCACACATATAAGTGCAGTTTGAACTAGGTCAGCCAGTCTTGCCTGGAAAATCCAACACAGGAAAGATGTGAAGAGGGAGAAAAATCACCAAAAAGATCTCACCGGCTGAACATCCAGGTCTGTCCTATGACTTTCCTGAATTGTCTGCAGCATCACATCTTCACAGATTATTCAGCTTCATTTATTTATTTCACATTTCTTTCATGTCGATTGAAAACATAAAACATAATGTACAATTCATTTACACTGAGAAATTAAATAGACTCATATGCTATTCATTGAGGTGAAAATTGAGGTTATAGTACAACATAAAGCATCACAGACCGCATGTTATGTAATGCAATCGTATTTTGGGCCTTTGGTGTCATTTTGTTAATTTGAAATTGGTTTCTACTCCTGCCGAAATCCACCGAAAACCACAAGGTCTGCATCTTTGAATCATGTAACACAATCTTCCTCAGCAGCTGTCATGGAGTTGTAAATGTTCAAATTTCTTCACTTTCAGTTCATTCTCGTTGAAGCTGAGATCAAAAGTTCATTCTTGAGCTCAACAAAAACAGCACAGTGCAAGTAAATCCTTGAGATTTCCGCTTTGGTAGAGCACCAGCTCTGTGTTTGCAAATGCAAATCAACATGGAGGAGTTTGTATGACCAGTCTGACTCACACCACGTCTGACCTTTATACAATACCAAGACAATCACAAGATGGTCTCCAGCTCTTTCAGAGATAAGGAGCTGTCTGGATCTTCTGCTCCAGGGGTTGAAGGCACTCCATGACCTTTGGAGTCATGATTTGCCTTACTGGTCCTGACATGTCTGGCGAACACTCCTGAGGTCTCAGTATCACCAGGCACATATCCGGGCAGGTTGCTTTGTGGGTGGAGCGAGGTGTGGCGCGGTGGCCTGACCCCTGAGCCGCCACCGGCAGCTCCAGCTGATCCCACCACACCCCCAGTGAAGGAAAGCGCCCTGGGATGCGCAGCAGACAAGCTGACACTGTGCGTGGTGGTGTGTGACATCATGCCGCCGTAGTAGCAGCTGCCTCCACCGCCGCTGCTGGTCATCCTGGCTTTCTGTTTGAGGTCCAGAGCGAGGCTGCGTCTCAACCACGCCTTCTTTACCTCTGCCTGCACCTGAGAACAGGAAGAAGGAGACAAACAGACAGTTACGTTTTACCTGGGGAAAGAGTTTATTGTTAAAAAGTAAATTACGGCTTCATTACCTCCCCATTGCAGAAACAGTAGATAAATGCAACAAAGAAGCCCTGGAGAGAAGAAATACAGGTTACGTTTAAAAGACGTACAGCCACACAAGTGTTTTATCATTAGTGTAGGGGAGGATAGTAATTTGTAAATGTATCTAAATCCTGAATAAGTAACTGTATTCTGTTACCTAAAAGGATGATGTGCATCTGAATGTGTATTCTGACCTGGGAAGAGTTGAAGAACATCTCGTAATGCATTTGCACCTGCCACAGCAGCCCGGTGACCTCAGTGTAGGGGAGAGCCATGAACACCATGTAGTGAACTCCAAACAAAGGCATGAGGACCAATGTAGACTTGAGCAGCTTCCTGTCGTTAAAGAGCAGAAGCTTTGGTGTAGTGATTTCATGTTTGGGCAATTTTATTCTAAGAGGATGTGAAATGTAGTCAGAATAGAAATCAGGCTTTTTCTTGTTACCGTTCTTGGAGGGTTAAATGAACAGTTACCGGTACTGCTGGCGAGGATCCAATTTACCAGTGTTGGTTTCCCACAGTTTGGAGGCCAGTACTCGGATTATGTTGACGAAGAGGAGGAAATTGACCTGCAGGAGCAGAGAGACCAAACTAAGAGTCAAATATCCTTTAACAGTATTTAAATGTAAATTCTGTTTTCTTACAACAATGGCCGCCAGAATGGGAACTTGATAGATCCACTTCAGGTTTCCGGCACTGATGTCCCAACATCTGAAAGCAGAGATAGAAGAGTTCAAATGAGCATCTGCGATACAGGTGCCATGTAAATACTAGACACATAAACGCATCGCATGACTCACTGGGTGTCTGCCAGTGATGCTCGTGCACTGACCCAAATGGACACAAACACAGCCGGAACGCCTAAAATGAGCGCAGAGAGGGGAAAAAGTGGAGAAATTGGCAGTGAGATAATTCACCTTCAGCTCCATATGGGACAGCAGAGTAGCCTGCTCCAATGCCGCTTACCCCACCCGATGATGGTGAGGGCCCACAGGTAGTTCTTGTCAGAGAGGAAGGCCATGAAGATGAGGCTATGTAGGTACAACCCCTCCACCAGGATCCAGTAGTGATTGGTCGCCAGGAAGTACAGGAAGAGAGTGACAGCAACTTTACAACCGGCCTGAGGACACGTAACAGGAGGGTCAACGAGGCTTTTAAACGGGGCCGTGAAATTCTGGAAACTATGGATAAATGGTAATGAATATAAAAATAAAACATATGGTTTACCATATGGGGCTTCTGTGCAGTGAACTCAGGCTCAACCTTACTGTCATCAGATATGGAGTAGAGCACAGCGTCCTTCACGAAAATGCTGACTGCTCGGCATATGAAGGAGGTGAAGAGGTGAATGTGGATGTAATTGCGTGTGCAGTGGAGGCGCCTGCAAGTGTGTGAGTGAGTGTGTGAGTGTGTGAGTGAGTGTGCGTGTGTGTGTGAGAGAGAGAGAAGTTAGAATGAAATTAATGAAATTTATTACATTATATTTTTATGCCTCTTTCAGGGGCTTATGAATGCAATACTAATGATCTCTTCTCAGTTTTATTGATAAATACTTTCAGTTGTACATTATTTTGCAGATGGAGGAAACTGACTATTGATGATAATTATTCTAAGGTGGAGTTATGGATCATGTTTGTGAGTTTTCTGTTTCTTACTTGAAATAGCAGAGGATGGAGACTGCCACCAACAGCGACGCGAGAGAAATGGAATAGCCGACAGTGTACATGAGATGGAGTCTCTCAAACACCTTCTGAAACAAAACAAAAACATAGTCAGAGTGTGCAGATGCGTAGAGTTGCAACAGACACCAGAAATGATGGTGCTAAACAGCAGAGCATGATTTTTCTGCATATTTCTGGAAAAAAAAAAATCATTATCCATGTAACACATTTGCAGGATTCAGACTAACACCCTATAATACTGCCAGTACAACAATCTGTGCGTGGCAACTGTTCATTATTTTATGGAGGAGTACAGTCAGTCCGCCTTAACTAGCCTCTGAGAAAATACTGTTGCGGTAAAGGCATCTACAAACTGCAGCTTGAAAAGTCTTTGATGCCCAGACTAGTGTAAACAGGTTCAACCATGCACCAGATCGCACACAGTCCACATACACATCTGGACAAATGCACATGTACACACCTCCTCCTGGCTCCTGTGGTTGGAGGTCAAATATGTGGTGCACTCTGTGTAATTAGCCCAAGTGCGGTTGATACTGGACACCTGCTCCCAGTTTCCTGATGCATCACACTGGCGGTAGGCTCGCCCTGGGCCACACGGGTGCAGAACACAAAACAACAGTCTGTGATATAAAAGACATCTAATCTTCCTCTTGCTCATTCTTTTGAATATTTAACAAGATGAATATTTGAAACCAAAAAAACTAAACAAAAAAACACCAGTGCTTTTACTCCATCAGGACAAAGCTCACATATTCGTGTTCGTGTCTCTCGCGAGGACTGTGCGTGAACCGACACACTTGACTGTTGCGCTCCCCTACCTCGGTGGTTGAAGTCGTAGATGTACTCTGGACACAGCACTGAGATCAGCTGACCCGCTCTGCTCTGTGGCCAGCAGATGATCCCGTCCCACTCTGGGATGCAGTCACCGTCTTCACAAATAAAAGCGAACAGATGTCAGCCATTTTACACCAAGTGGAGGTCCATCCATACAGTCTACATGGATCAGGGACTGAACAGGCCCAGAGGCCCAAACATGGCTCTGTCAAAAGTAGCGCTCCTGATCATGTGATATTGGGGATCTTCTGACACCAAATACAATCTACTGTATATTTGCATCATATGTAATTCCACATTTTGGGAGAAAAAACTAACTTTTTTGCAGAGGCTTAGATGAGAAGATTGAAACCACTCACATATCTGTCCACTAAGCTGAAGGCAGCAGCTAGTTAGCTTAGCTTAGCATGAAGGCTCGGAAACTGGGGGAAACTTCTATCCTCTCATTGAATTTTCGACGAAACGGAGACCGCAAGACCACGGCTGCTCACTGTGCCTCTCCTCTGCCTTACTGATCCTCCAACGGGGGCTCCATCTTATAAAATTGAATCCACAGACCTGGAAACGCTGTCATCAGCTTCTACGTCACATGCTCAGTGAAAAATGTCCCGCTATTGTCTGCACCTACATTCAACTCTGTAATCACAGCTAGACAGCAGGATATTGGCTGGGTTTTTATATCTGATCCTGAATAAATCATCAGCTTCTGATTATATATTTGGACATGCACTCACTGACCTGACAACTGTGTACACTTTGTAAAGCTCCTTACTTGCTTAATAGGGAGAGCTTTTGAATATTTTGAAAGGGGGGAAAACCTTTCAGCCCAGTCAGTATACTCAACATATTCCCAGTGATGACTTTTTATCTGGAGTGAAGGTTTAAATCAGACTTTACAGATAGATGATGTGTCATGACTACAAGCTGATCATCACGAAGTTCAGTGTTTTGACACAACAACAGAGCTGCTGAGTGACACACACTGGGATCAAACTCGACTCAAACTACGCAAAACTGAGCTCTGTCCTGTCGTTGTCTCTGATGGGTAAAATCATCAGTACAGCAGCACACAAACCTTTAACCAGGGCCATTTGTGCCTGGATTTCCCTCTCACACCTGGCGTGAGCACCAATCAGAACGTAGATCTGCTCGTCTCGTGTGATGACATCATCAGAGTCTATCTGTAGAAGAGAGAGAGGTGTCAACTTTTTAAAACAAATATGTATGATATATGCCATATTGTGCAATATGTGGAATACAAGCAGGCAAGTTTTTGATTTACTGTTTACGGCAGGGAATAGAAATGCGGTTTCCAACTGCCTGCAGCAGTGTGTATGGATGCATCAAACTTTTTATAGTAGTATAGATGGTACACAGCAGGTAAATGACCTGATTTGCAACAATGGAAAAACAATGAGCATGATAAATCACATCATGTATCTGCTAGGAATAGGTTCTAACTTCTTAGTATAGAGCATGAATAAGCGTTTTTGTAAGTTTTAGCTCTGTTCATGCTCAGCATGCTGTGCAGCTTTAGACTTCAGGTGTATTCCTACCTTCCAGGCAGTCGTTAGTTTCCATTCATTTACTTAAACTGCATTACAAACTCTGCCACTTGAATTTCTTACCATGCAAACAAACCAGGCAAAATGAATACCAATACCAACCCATTGGGAATAATAGATATATTCCCAGTACTGACCTTTTACCTGTAAAGTATCAATGTTGGTAATAAATGCTTTAAAACAACTAAAGTCGTTAGAGGCATGATTCTTTTAAGAAGGATCTCATTTACTAACAAGCACAAATTGGCTATAATGTATCCTCAGGGGTCTGACTGGGGTTTTTCTTATTTGGCCAAGCCTAAAGAGCAACTTCAGCTCATCTGAGCAGCTTTCATCCTCACACTGATTTGTCTGTTAAAGTGCCCACAGACATTAAAAGTTTCCTAATAAAAATCTCTCTGAAGTCTCTTTCCAACTAGGGCAATCTATCAACCACAAACACTCCCAAGGATCCGATGTGCTGCCTCCAGGTGTTGTGAAATAGTTGTGTGAGGGTGCGGTATGTGATGATACCCCGCCAACCCCTTTTCCCGCCTTTGGCCACACGGGGGCCTTGTCCTCAGGACCTTGGTTGAGCTGGTGAGAGCTAGCCCACACAAGAAACTTTGTGTTCCTGGGTACATTTCACAACAGAACAGCAAAACTAGCAGTGAGTCAACTAGAGAACTCACATGAGAACGATTTGCCAGACAGAGCAGGACAGTGATGTCGAGCAGTGATGAGACAGAAAAAGGTACAAACAAAGAAAAAGAAAGAAAGCAAAAGTTGGGTCCAGGGGAAAAACAACATCCAGAGACATTAGTTTGCTTCTGTGACTTTAATTTTGCCATTAAAGCAATATTTAAATACAATTCTGAGGTACTTGCACTTTACATCTGCATATGCATTATACTTGTACTACAATATGTACTTTTTGCACTTCCATATTTTTTTGACAGGTTACTTTTGTCTCAATTTACTAAGATTTTACATTGTTAAATAAACTATATTGTTAAAGATTAAACCAGTGGCCACCAATCTCTTTACAAAAAATACAACGTGTAGGCCCACCCACTTTCACATGTCTAAAAGTTGTGAACAATTTCACCAATGAGTGAAATATTCTCCAGTCACTTCGTTAGTAAATGTCAGAGGCCCAAAGAGGTAAAATCATTCAATACTTCACAAAGATTACATAATTGTCGAAAATGTTTACACAGCATTGCTTTGAGCTAAACGCTAACATTGACATGCTAACATGCTCACAATGACAATGCTAACATGCTGACACCAAGCAGGTATAATATTTACCATGTTTACCATTTTATTTTAGTATGTTAGTATGCTAAAATCACAAAGTACAACTGAGGCTGATGGGAATCTATTTGTTTAGTATATGATTATGTCAGTTACAGGGTCCAGTTTCTGCAGACTCTGGACTTTTACTTTTGACACTTTATTGGCTTACATTTTGCTAATAATACATGTAGGCCTACTTTTAGTTAAGTATTATCAGTACAAACGTAAGTAATTTCTTTTTCTTTTTCTTTCTTTTCTTTTGGATGGTATTGATATATTTTTAAATTGTGGAATTGGTAGCCTTCTCTTACTTAAATAAAGGATCTCAAGTAGACTTCTTCCAGCCTCTCACAGCTGTCTTTCTCGCAAGCTAAACAAAACTTTTCACTCTTGTCAAACAGACTAAAGCCCAAGTGGAACAATTTATATTGATGGATATGTGATAACTAACATTCTTGGCAGAGGCCATTAAAATAAACTGCCAATGGGTGTACAGTGTTTCTAGTATTGAAGCGTTCAGAATGCTGAACGGCTATCATTTCCAACAGGGATTTGTTTTGGGAGGGAATTCTCAGCCAAAGTCAATACAGACATGTTGAACAGCTAAAACCACTTGTTGTTGTATAGTGGACTGTGGCTGTGATGGAATTGCTTATAGTGTGTATATACAGTATGTGTGTGTGTATCTGGATTATCCCATTTAAACACATGTTGATTATTGATGATATTCAAGTCCTTCACCTGCACCTCAGCAAAACATCCTCAGAAACCACAGTACATTGACATGCAGCATAATTCAATACATGAAGGTCAATTCAGACAAGTCATTCACTTTTTCTTTGAACAGGAGTGATTTCTGCTGACAGACAGGGAGTGTTACCAAAACAATTAGTCTTAAACATCCCCTCACCTTTGTGTCATAATTGAATTTGCTCTCTCAGGCCTCTGCTTCATGTAAAGTGATTTTCTGGCTGACTGAGCGGGAGGTTGTAAGTCTGCCTGACGTCGACACTTGGGATCGACCCGGGGGAAGATGAAGAGAAAATGCTCAGAGGCAACGGTGTTGAGAGTGAGCTGCTTCAGTGGGTGAAAGGTTAAAGGGAGCTGAGCTGATAGAGGTTTGTGAGGTGAAGCAGACCAGGTCATTTCTGATGGTGGAGATTAAGGGCTGTTGTTTTGGTTTCACTGCTGCTGCTGCTGCTGCTGCTGCTGCTGCTGCTGCTGCTGTGTTGGTGTGATGGTTTGATGGTTTGAAAGTTTTGTTGGTTCGTTTTTACAGGTTTTTGTCTCAGGCAGTCAAAATCTCACATGCCTTTTCAGAGGAAGTGTGTGTGTGTGTGTGTGTGTGTGTGTGTGTGTGTGTGTGTGCTGCTTTTCTAATCCCCTACTTTTTTCAGAATAATATTCCTACTTTGACATAAGATTTTGCAGGTAAATTTATTAAATGTCCTATATTTCATTTTCGATTTTCTTATTAATTATTGGGTACTACTTAGTTATTTTTGTTGTTGCTTTTTAAGAGTTTCTGCTGCAAAGACCCCACAATTGTAGACATCTAATGATTTCATTGGCTTTTCAAGAGTGGTATTACACTCAAACTGTTACTTCAGTTGTTTCTAATATTGCATTGATATTGCATTGATATTGTACACGATCTGATTTGATGTTTCATTACATTTGGAAATAAACTACATTATAGATATATTCAAAAATGAAAAATCCGTAGGCAAAACTGTTAAAAAAAGTTATCCCACATTTGTTAAAAATGTAGAAAATAACACCACCCATCTATGGTTCGTCTTGCTGGTGAATAGCTGGCATTTTTTCCAAAGTACGAAATAAATCTATGTCCAGAATTCAAGCGCTCAAAGAAAGTCACAGATACATGAAACTTTCTATATTTGGCCCAAAGTGCTGCAGTAGGGGAGGGGGTGTTATTTCTGACTCACTGTCATGATAAAGTGTAAGATATGATGCTACTGTGCGAAAAGTTTACATTTTGAACATAAAAACTGTCCTTTTACGACACTTGACTAAGAGACAGAATTTACTTGCTGCTATGTTCATTTTAACCCAAAGAACATCACATGCTCAACAACCCTTCAGCACAAATATAAGAAATTATTATTATTTCACTTAAACAAGATCTGTTCTGAAAAGACACACTTGAAATTATATTTGGACTAATTATAAAACTGTAGTATTACTGTACTGTACTGTAGTACTGATAATATTCATGCTTCATTTCTGGTTATTTGAAGAGACTAAAAGTAAAAGCCAAGCAAAAACAAACTTTTTTACCAGTAGAGTGGGAAAATGTATTTGAAACAAAGAAATAATAAATATATGAAGAGAAAATAATAGTCATTTAATCCAATCAATCAATTAAATAATCAATAGCTCAATAACCCAAATACTCAGGATAAATAGAGTAGACTTACCAGTGCAGTCACTGTTATTACACAGTGGAAAAGAGCCAAAGCACCAATTCCCTGTGCACACAACATAACGTCTTTTCTACTGTCGACTTAAACAGGGTTGACTGCGACTTTCCACACACTCTCAGATCATTTTATCCTCCTCAGGTTGTGTTGAAGGAACTTGTATCCCAAAGTTAAACTCTTTTCTTCTTCTCTGGTGCCCCATCAGTCTTTCTACGGTTATTTCTCAAGTCATGAGAACTGCCTTTCAGTGTCTTTCTCCAGTCTTCTCCTTGAAGCTCAATGGACATCACTAATCAGAGTGACCATGTTTCAGTAAGTGTGTGGTGCGAGAAGAGAGAGGAGCACTGTGGCAGAAACCTCCTCCTTTTGCAGTTCTTTGGACTGTTGTCTATTGGAGATGGGTTGGCCTTGATTGGCTGTGGCTTCCATCTCACTTAACCCTTTATGCTCCTGTGGTGTGGTCATCTGTCTCTATCTTGTCTCCTTTAACCCTTTTTTTTTTTTCCAAAGCAGTCTTAGATGATTACACATATTGATCCCACATTCAAATATGTTAGCAGATCAGTACATACAGCATGTTCCTGGCTTTTGATTCAGTGTGTCTGGACTAAATACTAGGTTCCATTATTATACTCCATCATCATAAATAGAAACAGTATGATTTAATAAACTTTGGTCCCATGGGAAGAGACCAACATTTCTGAACTTGTTCCCACGGTGGGACATTTCAGAAGCCCTGATGCAGACCAGCTACCGTTTGTACCACTTAGAGGACTCTATCGTCTCTGGTGTGACCCTTCTGACACTAGCAAATATAACAGGTTCACAGATGAGATGGGGAAGAGGTGCAATATTTTTGGCTGGTGTTGCTGATATTTTTTAGACAAGTTGTTAAAGTTGTGTGCTGATATTCTGCAGTAGCTCTCAATCTCAACCAGAGACACCCAGGGGTCCCCAAAGACATTTAAAGTTCCCATGGTTCAGGATTTATTACAAAGTTTCCTCATAAAACAAAACAATACAAAATACCATAAATGCATTAGTTTTTAATTAATTTATAGTTAGTTTATAGTTTTTAATTCAATTTTTGCGAAAAGAAAAAGAAAGAAAAATATACTACTACTAATAATAATAATATAACTAAATAATAATCAATATTATTATTACTATTTGTTGTTATTACTATTGTACACTTATACTATTGTTGTTATTATTTCTGTATTTATTTCTTTATTTATTTTCACGCTCAACGGCGTGAAGCGTGATTTAGCTTTTATTTTGAAAGGTCGATTTTTGACGTCACAGCAACCCGGAACTGCCGGCTGCACAACAAGGACAGTAGCTGCACGTTCTGTGGGCCTGTCAAAGCTGTAAGTTAGAAAACTTCAGGCGGTTTCATTCATTTGTCGAGTTTAATATGAATGTTTTCTGAAAGTAAAGCCTCGTCCGCAGACGGAGACGTGTGAAATACTTTGGTACTGAGTGTGTGTGAGTGTGTGTATGTGAGAAGGGCATGGCGGGGGTGGCGGTGCTGGGGGCTTCCCGAGTCCTGCTCCCCCGGACACTGGCCGTGGCCTCAGGCAGGTGCTCGGCCTCAGTGAAGTCCGTCCTGCCTCCGGCTCCATGCGTGATGTCCGTCCCGTTGAGGGCCTCTGTCAGGAAGCTGCAACTCTGCTCCTCATTATGTGCCGGGCACAACAAATGGTCAAAGGTGAAACACATCAAAGGACCCAAAGATGAGGCGAGAGGAAAGATGTTTATGAAGTTTGGCATGATGATAAAAATAGCTGTGAAAGGTGAGGCTGGAGCGTTTTCGTGTCGTTTTTACAATTAAGGTTTTGTGGACTGTAGCTAATGTCAAATTTGGTTTCATCTGCAGAGGGTGGACCTAACCCAGATCTGAATATTAACTTGGCACACGTACTGCAGCAGTGCAGGAGCAAAAACATGCCCAAAGCATCCATAGAGGCTGCAATCAAGAGTGCGGTAGGTTGACAACTCTGTCACAGTAAGATAGGAGAAAAATTGTCCTAAACAGTGTCCTAGTAGGTTGTTGGTCCACCGTACTGTGGGTGTAGAATTTTCAAGGCTCTGGAAGGATGGACTCCATTCCTCCCAAAGAAAAAAAAAAACATTCATGTCTTCTCACCTGGCTCCACAGGAAAAGTCTAAACCAGCATCCCAGCACATGTTCGAAGCTCGGGGGCCCGGTGGATGTCTGCTGCTCATCGAGGTCCTCACTGACAACAACACCCGCTGCCACCAGGAAATTAAACGCCTGCTTAACAAGAACGGGTCAGGACTGGCTCATAATATTAGTCTGAAATACTCCATCACAGATAATTCAAGTGCTTTCACCACAACGCTGATGGCTAATCCTTAGTGTTGATGTGATCTGCTTGACATTCAAGATCACCAGGCCATTTCAGACAGTGACACGTACTATGAGCTGACAGATGGATAAAAGTTACAAAGTCTTCCCTCTGGTGAATACCAGATTTTACAGCAGTATTATGATACACAGGCCAGAAATGCAATGATGAAAGAGTACATGGTACACATTGTTCGTACTGTGATGTAAGTAGGTGCAGTGTATTGTGCAAATGTCAGTAGCCACTAGATGTCCCTAGAGCTGTGGATAGCACTGTGTACTGTATCGTCCCTGCAACATTATTGCCATTGGACAAGAAGCTGTTGGCACAAAAGTAAAGAAGTGATGAAATCATGCATCACTATCATGCAATACATAATTATTACCTATATAAGCCTGTTAATTTGGTGATTTTCATCCTTTCAGGAAAAGGATTCAATACATTAGCTCTTACAGTTACAAATACATGATTGTATGGGACTGTGTTGTGCTGATGGTGTAATTCTTTGCTATTCCACAGAGGGATGCTGTCTGATGGAGTCCACCACAACTTCACCAGGAGGGGGGTGGTGGCGATGGCGGGCAAGACCATCTCGACGGAGAGAGCTCTGGAGCTGGCCATTGAGGCGGGAGCCGAAGATGTCCAAGAGAGTGAGGACGAGGAGGAGCAGCCTCTCCTGCAGGTCAGACATGAAGAGGCAACTTCTCTATGGAGAGCAGTAGAGACAGTATAGTACAGTGACACATGTCGCTGCAAGTGGAAGCAGCTGTGATTGGAATGAGGCATATGTGGAGCCATCTTGGTTGGCTCTGAAATTTAAATGTGAATAAATGTGATACTGAAAATGTCATATTTATCACATTTCTTTCTGCAACAGACACTCTCAACAGAGACTCTGAAAGTGTCTCTTTAAAATACAGACACATACAGACCTGTGTTTAAATTTCCCTTTTTGCAGAAGTTTCTTTTCCTGTCTGTCCACCTCTGCTTCCCATCACTATCACCACATGATTGTTATCTTTACATTATTGCAACTTATTTGGCACAATTTTGTTATCGAACATTAAGAGCAGTCGAACCACTAAGAGCAGTTTATCACCCCTTCCTATTGCAGAATTAAATACTATAATACAACCTTCTCGCAGGTTCTTCTCATTTTAAATTGCATAGCTGTGTTGGGATTTTGGGAAACAAAAGTTGCAGCCTACCACGGTTTAACAGTTTGATCTGATCTCTCTTCAGTTTATTTGTGACACCATGGACGTGAATAAAGTGCGGGCCTCATTGGAGAAGCTGGGAATGCAGATTGCATCTTCTGGAGTGGAGTTTGCTCCAAGTATCTTCTCATCTCTGGACCAGGACCAGCTGGATACCGCTTCAACACTAATAGACGCTCTCAATGACTGTCCAGAAGTAGTTCGAGTATGGGACAATATCCAGGCTGACAGCTGAGTACGATCTCTGGACACTTTGTAGACACTGAATAGGTTGCATGTGGAATATCTCATTTCACAGAGAAAGATTTTGACAACCTTGTACATCAGTCAGTAAAGATACTACTGCTTGTCATGTCATTATAAGGAACAGACATTATCAGTGTGAGAATCTGTGTGTTTTGGCCATTTTGATGTCTATATGGGAAAAAGTTTTGATGAGAAATTAAACTGTGGTCCTAGTTGGAATGTGAAGTGATGTTTCACCTTAAATATTTTCTATGGTCAGACTGCACTTTTCTACAGAAGTTCGTGAGCAGCCAGTAGAAGCCATAGGTGGCATTTTAAGAGACATCATTTGTGAAATAGGTCTTTAAAAGTTGTGGAAAAAGTATTAATAAGAGTGTCCCTCTATTGGAAACTCATTCACGAGATCCTAGAGGTAAGAAATAAAAATGTTCCATCAAGAGGACATTTCACTTTTACTACTTGAGGAAGGAAACAATGCATTAACAAGGATTAGATTAAAAATAACACTTAAAGATCCCCTCCGGAGATGTTATTTCACATATAAAAAGTCTCTGCTGGAAAAGTGATTTATGTCAGGTATGGTTTGTCCACAAAAAAGTTTGGCTACCGAGTTAAAAAGTATTAAGAATACTTGTACTTTTTCCTCCTCATTGAAAGATTATGCAAAAATGTGTATTTATTATATTATTGTTAAAAACAAAACAAAAAGAATACAGTTGGCTGAAGGTTACGGCTGAAGGACATTTTGAGCCCATGTCATCACAGGTCATTACCCCCTCATAATACTGTAGTGTCAACATTGCAGTCAATAAGATCCCACATTAACAGTATGCATGCAACATATTGAGCGGACGCTATACCTTTAGCCAGCTGATTTAGTTTTTTGCACCACAGTGTCACATATGCCACAGCCTCAACTATGTTTTGAATGCACACTACCAACTTGAACTGCATACAAGAACACTGAAATGGTAATTTGCTGTTAATGGGGAAGTCCAGTGTAATGGCTCTGAGCCCATTTGTTCTTTTTATCAATGCTCGACATTGATTTTCCTGTCAGTTCCTGTCTGCTATAGCATAGCATTGATTGTTTTCCAGTGTTGGCAAATGTTGCGCAGCAACATGCGAGCTGCAGGCCAGTCCTCTGCCCTGTGCCAGAGTGGAGGGTTCAACATCGACGTGTGCATCCACACACTGAAAACCAGAAGTACATTTGTTTTGCCTAAATATGACCCATGAAAGAGGAGAGTGAACGTTTTTGAACACACAAAAAGGTGTTCAGAGGGATGGAGGTTTGAGTCATGGCTGTCTAGTGGTCAAGGCCAAGGAGGATCTGATTTTCTGGTTTCAAGTCAGGTAAGTTGTGTTTATTACTAGAACTGACTGACTGATGAGAGCACATTTTCTGTACCTGCTACCTTCTCTGTGCAGTTGCACTTTGTGAGTCAAGTATTGAGACTATCCAGTATTTGAAGGCAGAGTATTTTTGGGAGGGGCACAGCTGGACGGGCATTCTGGGAAATCAGAGCAGAGAGGAATTTGTTAAGGGGGTGGTGCAGAGTATTAAGCGTAATGAATACTAGAACTGGAGTAATAATAGTAGTAAGCCAAATGTCTTTCCAGGAAAGAAAAAACTACAAAATAAGAACAAAAACTCCAAAAACAAAGATTGTTTAGGATCTCTTTGGCCTAAATATAAATAAGTTCCTGTTTTTCCAATCACCTGTCGGCCAGCAGAGCTCCATGTCTGACTCAGACCTTATGAAGAGTGGGGGTCCAGGCAGCAGGGGCCCTGTTTGCCGCTCACCTCCAACTCCCAGGATGGAGCTGCTCAGCCCCTCCAAGGTGAAGGACCGCTCTCAGAACGTCACAGAGAAGGTCACGCAGGTACGGGGGCCGAGGACCTCACATGGGCTCAGTCTCTGGCTGTGTGCATCGGTTTAATACACTCGAAGTGTGCAGCTGGCCTGACTGCGAGCCAAGAAATCTGTACTTATTTACTACCAAATTTCAAGTGAAAGTCTGTGACTATAATGCCCCACGGTGCATTTGAGGCTTGCCAGGTTCAATCTGTAATTTAAGAGCCCACATTAATCGTGTTTTGATTTCCAAGAAAAGAGGCTTCCAAAAAAGTTGCCATGACATTTGTTAACCTGCTAGTGGAAAAATCAGTAGGCGGTTTGGTGGCTGAATGTTTTCCTCCTGGGTGTGAAAAACAAAGCTACATTGAGCCACAGTTCAATTCAGGCCTTCTGCTGTTACTGCCGCAGCCCTGGGGCTCAGCATTCTGCATCACTGCCTCTGTGGGATGCTGAGTGATGTTTTCCATTTAATAGTCTTTCTATATATCTGTATAACTATCTATGTATGTATCTGATAGATTTATCCATTTGTCTGCAAGGTGTGTGAAATTCATCAGGGCAGCAACTATTATTTTGAAATAGTGCTGAAGAGAACAAGGAGACAGTGGCAGCACATGAACTCAGCTGTGTGATTGTGACGCCCAATTCATCATTACAACCCTCCAGCCCACCAGCATCCGGTGCTCAGTCAGCTCTTGCGTGGTTGATTACAGCACACTGGTGCTTTAGCTTCACCCAAGGTTTTCAAGCTATCTGAAAATAAATGTACTATCTGGATGTAACCTCGCACAAGTCTTGCCTCTGCTGAGAGTCACCAATGACAGGATGGTCAAGGATTTGTTGGACCTACAAGGTCGCAAAACCAGAGCATGCAGCCTTCACCAAGAACTCGGTCAAAACAGTACGTCTTCTAGAAAGGTCTGTTGGTTAGTATTAGCTCAGAGAGAAAGATAGTTTTCAAATTGCTGCTCTTTGTTTCAGAGGATGTACTTGTGTTACCGTTTTCCTTTTTTTCATGCAATTTTGTTCTTTTGCCTTCTGAGAGAAGAATAACTTGTTTACTCAATATGTATTACAGCACTAAATAAGATCGAAAGCCTGTGTTCATATGTGAGAATCATTGTGTACTGCTGCATTCTTTATGCTTAGGTACTTTCTCTGGAGTCTGATGTACTGCCTGAATACAAACTCCAGGTGCCACAGACAACATGGTGGATCTTGCTTCACTACAGCCCCTTCAAGGCGTTTTGGGACTGGATAATTCTCCTCCTGGTCCTCTACACGGCTGTTTTCACTCCTTACTCAGCTGCTTTCCTCTTGGATGAACATGGCGATTTACGTCAAAGGAGTTGTGGCTACACATGTAACCCTCTGAATGTGGCAGACCTTATGGTGGATGTGCTGTTTATTGTGGATATAGTCATCAACCTTCGCACAACATACGTGGACCAGAATGATGAGGTGGTCACACAGCCGAGCCGGATAGCCAAGCACTATGTCAAAGGCTGGTTCCCTATTGATCTCTTTGCAGCGATCCCTTTTGACCTTCTCATTTTCAGATCGGGCTCTGATGAGGTAAGAACTTTGTCTCTGAAAGCTTTTTCAAGTTCACATTGTTTGTATCTAAAATAATCCCTGGATATAATTGTGCCGTCCTCAAGTCTCTCAATTACTAAAATGTTCTTTTTAATGAAGTCCTCTAAAGCTGCTATAAGTTGATTGGCCATTTCTCTGTCTAAAATCTTCTTCCCTGTTAATGAACACTAAAGATGGCAACCTTAACAAGCCTGCTGAAAACAGCTCGCCTGCTACGACTGGTCCGTGTGGCAAGAAAACTGGACCGATATTCTGAATATGGAGCTGCGGTCCTCTTCTTACTCATGTGCACCTTTGTACTCATCGCCCATTGGCTAGCCTGCATTTGGTATGCCATTGGCTTTGTCGAGAGGCCGTACACGGAGACCGGTTGGCTGGACAACCTGGCTGAACAACTGGGCAAGTCATATAACGACAGCGACTCCACCTCTGGTCCGTCGGTCAAAGACAAGTACGTCACTGCTCTGTACTTCACCTTGAGCAGCTTGACCAGTGTGGGGTTCGGTAACGTTTCTCCAAACACCAACTCTGAGAAGATCTTCTCCATCTGCGTCATGGTTATTGGCTGTGAGTTGAATAACACTGTTAGGGACTGTATGAAAGTTACCGGGCAGGGGATGTTTCACTTTTAGACCCTTCACAATGTTATTGATAATTGATTTGGAAATGTCAGACTACCCTCCTACCTCTTCTGCAAAAAGAAAAAAAAGAAATAACCCTCCCCCTTTCCTACCCCCTGTGCCTCCCCAATAATTTTCATACAGTTCCTTAATATATATATATATATATACACACACACACACACCTCTGCAAGTTTTCCACTTCTTAGTATTTTTAGCAAATATTACAACTGAAATAACATAACCAGACGGGTCTTATTGTTATCTGTTTGTCGTCCTTTGCTTCTGTCTCAGCTCTCATGTACGCCAGCATATTTGGGAACGTGTCTGCCATCATCCAGCGGCTGTACTCAGGTACAACCCGCTACCACACCCAGATGCTGCGTGTCAAAGAATTCATTAGATTCCACCAAATCCCAGGTTGCCTGCGCCAAAGACTAGAGGAGTACTTTCAGCATGCCTGGTCCTACACAAACGGCATTGACATGAATGCTGTAAGCAAAACAGTGACAATACTTACCTCTGAAACATCTTTTGCATCTTATCTCTGATATTTTGATTGTTTTTTCATCCCATATTCAGGTGTTGAAGGGGTTTCCAGCGTCTTTGCAGGCTGACATCTGTTTGCACTTGAACAGATCTCTGCTACAGAACTTTAAGGCTTTCCGTGGAGGTAGTCAAGCCTGTCTGCGCGCCTTGGCCATGAGGTTCAAGACGGTCCACGCTCCTCCGGGAGATACTCTAATCCACTACGGAGACATCCTGGACTCTCTCTTCTTCATCTCTCGTGGATCGATCCAGGTCAACAGGGATGATGTGGTAGTAGCAATATTAGGTAACATATCTAATTGTAATGTAGCGTCTCAGAAATGCCCCAAAGCCATACTACAAAAACAGCATCTACTCTACTCTTGCAGAGAAGAATGACATCTTTGGCGAGGCTATCCACCTGTATGATGAGCCAGGGAAGTCCAATTCCGACGTGCACACCATCACCTACTGTGACCTGCACCGCATCCTGAGGGACGACCTGCTGGAGGTCCTGGATATCTACCCCAGCTTTGCAGACAACTTCTGGAGGAACCTGGAGATGACCTTTGACCTGAGAGATGTATGTTGTAGTTCTTGAAATTTTAAATTTCACAGCACGATGTTCTGGGATTTAAGACAATGAGTATCTGTCTTTTTTTTTTTTCCTGTGCTCATCAGGCCGATCAAGTGCCACCAATAATAACAACCGATGACTCTGGTGACGACTGTGGATATCATCACAAGCAAAGACACAGAATCCACTCCCTGGACTGCCGAATTCGGCCAGGTGAGATATGTGGTGACATAAGTTTATTGAGTGCATGGGAGATACTGCAAAGAAGCAACACTAATGTCCTAAGAACAGGTTGGTGGTTAATATGTTCAGGGTGTATTTGATTTACTTCTATTGGAGTGGAATTTAGAGATACATAAACAAAACGCAGTAACTGAGTGACTGAAATGCTTTTCTGTAAACAGATGGAATCGATCATGAAGACTCCTACCCCCTTCAGTCTTTCCGTCATCGTCACTCACCTCCCCAGGCCCACTGGGATGACCACTGTAGCTGTGGATCCCCATGCTCCCAGTCCAGTGAGGACCTAGCTAAGTCTCTTTCTCATGGTGCCAAAGTAGAGCTTTATCCTCCTGAAGACGCCACGCGAGATTACTCCCCCTCTGTAGTGCAGCTGCTACCCCCGAGTGGCACGTCAGTGGGGAGGGACTCGGTGTTGGACATGGGCCACCAAGGTAATTGTCCACATTACCTCATCGCCCATCCTTGAATGTTAAAAATACATCAGAAAAACAAGATTTTGGGTGCCACACAGTCATATTCAGACTACTGCATGTCTTTAACATTTTGGACATTCCCATTATTTAAATCAGATAAAATATGTTAAATTTCCCACCCATTTCTTTTATTTTCCTCAGCTTCATCTTTGAATGTGCCGGGAATGTATCAGTACTGGCCAGACCGACAGTCACAACAGTTTTCCAGTCACGCATGCCGATCTTCCTCTGTCCACAACTCATACCACCCACCACCGTTCACAGAAGAAAGGCCCGGCGAGCTAGAGTCTCGACTTGAGGTTTTACATTCACAGCTCAACAGGTGAGTAGTTTTGTGTGTGGAAGCATCTGCTGGTCAGGGAATGGCTTGAAGCAGCTCTGCTGGAAATATCAAAGCTTGTCCAAGCCAAATGGAGAAGTTCAGCAGAAGCATTCAAGGTTCAGACAGGGAGATGCAACAGGCAGGAAGGCTATGACCATATTAATGAAACAGGACAACAGGGTAAACAAAGTGGTGCGAATATAGACAGGTGCAGAGGGAAACGGAGAAAGCGGTCCTTTAAGATTAATTAAAGGAGTTTTTTGTCATCTAATTAAAATTTCTGGCCATATGTCCTGGACTCATTATTTCACCTAATAGCTTCTGTATATAAAAATTCTTCTTTCCTTCTCTTTGTTCCTTAATTCCCCAGGCTGGAGACTCGCATGACAGCAGACATCAACGTTATTCTCCAGCTTCTCCAGAGGCAGATCGCTCCTGTACCTCCAGCTTACAGCACTGTATCATCCAGTACCCTCCCTTCTGACTCACCCGGCCTGTATGGGACTGGGACACCAGTGCTGCACAGCATGTACCCCATCTCTCCCATACAGATGGACAGCAGAGCACCCACACAGGTATGGAGTGATACTAATACTACAGTCACTGTTCACTAGAACAGATTCATTTCTAGTCTTTTACGTAAGAAATAAAAGTTCAAAAGTATGTGATTTCCTTACTCTAGAGCTCGAACCAAACCGACCTTAAATTCACCAAGAAGTCCCAGGAGTCACTGTCCAGCGGTATCCATGTGACTGTGGCGTCAGACGACACCATGTTCATGACCGTCACCCCCGAAACTGAGACCCACACAGGGTTAACCCCACAGCTGCCCCAGCCATCAGTCAAATCCTCCCTCATGGAGAACCCCAGGCTGTGCGGCAGCCTCCGCTACCCCTCACTGCCGGGAAACCTGGACATCACGTCAGGACTAGCTGAGATCCAGAAACACCTGTCAGACCCTGGGCTGCCTGTCATCTGAAGACATTTTTGTGGCAACCAGTATGACACTGAAAGAAAGTAGAAATACACTGCTTCCTACAGACTTGTGGAAGGGGCCATTTGACTAGTCCAAGAATCAGCTATCATTACACATTTGGACAGCAAGTAGTGTCTCAAAACCAGATCGTGGTGACCGGCAAGGATTTCTTCTCAGTCAGTAACGATTACAACAGTTATCATACTTTCCAGAGGACAAGTGCTAACTTACAAGTTGTGCATGGTAAAGAGTACACAGGAGTTTTTCTTTGCATCTCATAATCATATTTTACATCTTCTTGTTCCATCCCGGTTTGGTTTTGAGAGCACCAGTTCTGGTCCATCCCTGTTGTGTCATAATCCTGATCCTGTTTAAATCCTAAGTATTTCCCTTTCTGATCAGTACAGACCTTTTACCCGAAGACAAGAGCCTGACTGATAATGAATTTGTGAGACCATCAGCAATACTGTTATTTGAGAGTAAAAGGAATAGTTCCACATTTTGGTTAATGAGCTTATTTGCTTTTTTTTTTGCCAAGAGTTGGGAACAGATTGAGATGAGATCAATACCTCTCTCAAGACTGTATGATAAATGTGAAGCTACAGCCACTAGCCTGTTAGCTTAGCTTAGCACAAAGACTGGAAACAGGTAGTGGCTATAGCTCCACATTTACCAGACAGACATGAGTGGTATCGATCTTTTCACATAATTCTCAGCAAAAAAGCAAAAATGTCAAACTACTCCTTCAAGAACATCTGATAACAGCATGTGGGTTGATCCCTTTTCTTTTTAAAAAACAGAAATACATCAGATAAACATTTTTGGATCCATTGAAGAATTGTGACCAAGATATGTACAGATGTACAGAGTGGGACACTTAACAGTTCAAAAACAAATTTGTCAATGCGCTCTGATGCACAAACTATGGAATGACCCCCCCCCTTCAATTACCACAAACATATCTCTGGCATTTCTGTACAACAATACCTGGTTAAGTACTGGCCAATATACAGTATGTCACTTCACTGGACCTCCAATTTTGGAAAATGAATCTATGAACAGGTAGTTTTTCTCAGTTTATGCTCAGCAAACAATTGCTCATCATAGCCACAAACTGAAACAGTTGCAGCGAATAAGATTCCTGTTCCCTCCCATGGCTTGTGTTTCCCATCCAATCCTGATCCCAACATCACAGCAGGACTGACAGCATTCAATTTCAGTTTGACCAAGTATTTTCTCTATATTATACAGATTTTGGAGGATAAAGTCCAGGCAGTGTTTTACAGTAACTGGAAGAATACACTTTTCAACCTATCATTTCTAACTGTAAATCTGTACTATAGATTCTTATCAATGTGTTAATGAGTCACCTCAGTGTGAAATAATTGTCTAAATATAAAACTTCTATATAATTGTTTCAACTGTGAGGGACTGTTTATTCCTGTATAAAATAAAATAAAATAATGTTGCTACAAATAAAAATAATGTTGCAGAAATGACAAAGAAATATGTATTATGGTCAGTTAATACTAGTTAACTGTGGCATATATAATTACTATATCACAACTAAGATGTTTTTCATATCACAAATGATATTTAGTTGAATAAAATATATATTTATATAAGTTCAAAAAACATTTGAGTACATGAAAACACTTAAATTCACATTAACCACATTCAATCTGGCTAAACTGCATTTCTGCAGCATCAAAAAGTGAATATTGACGTGAATATTGGATATTGGATGGATGGCTTAAACTACAAAACAAAATGCACACTGTAGCATAGAAAAACATGTTATTGACTAGTCTATTTGTCGATTAAACAACATGCTGAAAGCTTTAAGGGTACTGGACATTGATTTGTATCTGTACATGACAACAGATTTAACAGTCTTTCAGTTACGCGAGGGCTGGTTCGGTGCTTGTTCGAGTTTTCTGATACAGGTATCACAAAGTTAAGCAGTAACATACTGTAGTTCCCACTCAGCTGATAAAAGCTTAACACACATCATCTGTATCAACATGAAGCCAAAACAAGTATTTGTCCTCAGTAAACAAAGAATTTCCATCAACAAACTCCGGTCACCTTGGGAATCTCACTGAGAACGTTTTTGAGTTGTTTCACGCCTCGTTGCTCCATGTCATCAGCTCAGACTCGGAGGATTTCCAGGCAGTTGTTGTAGCAGATAGAGATCCAGTCGGGCTGGGTGGAGGCCCACTGTACATTATTGATCTCTCCCTCAGCTGTGTAGGCCAGTATAGGGTCCTCGATGGCCCGCGGCATCTGCTGGATGTCCCAGATTAGAGCCTGGTGGTCATCCGCTAGACAGATGAGGGGAGGAGGTTTGATTTGAATTGATTTATCTTGTTTAGACAGGAAGAAAATAATGTTACTAAACATCACATGTTACTGGCCTGATGTCTGGTTAATGACCAGGTTCTATCATTCAGCAGGACATAAAAACATCAAAGTAAGTTCAGGGGAAACCAAAATATTCACAGAAGATCAGCAGCATACCAGACTATTGCACCACAGGGGCAATGTATTGATTGCAAATGAAATGGATTTTACACACTATTATGCATGTGACTGTGTTGTAGAATTGTTTTGGCCAAAATGGTATTTGTATATAATATTAATTTAAGGATCCCCTTGGGAAATTGGTTGGCAGGTCTTTGCTCTGATCAATTATCTCAACATCTAATTATCTAACCCTACTGATCAATTACTGAAATGAGCTGAATCAGGTCCATCTCATTATCAATTTTGGAACAACATATGGCCTTTGTTGTGTGATAAGGAACTGCTCTTTTTCCCTGTAGGCTGATTTCATAAAGTGTAATAATTTCTTCTGTTGTCAGCAGGCATGATGTTCATTTCTGTTGCTATAGAACACAAAGGAAACCCTGGACGTGACACTGAATTTAAAGCCCTTATATGTAAGATCTGATCATTTCTGTCTGAGACAGTTTTACTAATAGCATCAGGAGATGATGTTGCAGACAGGTCCCCCTCAATTTTACTCTCCAACTGTCACAATGATAAACATGTATTTACAGGCACGGTGGTGGCAAGAGAACACAAACTTAGCATAAGAAGAGCTCCCTCTTGTGCTCAATGTCTGTTGCTGCAGTAATATAAAGTATTGTATTGAGATAATATTCTCCTCTCAGACTGCACTACTATTACATACATTTTTGGGTGAAGCCCTCAACCTCCAGACTGCAAACAAACTTCTGTGTGAATAACCTGCATACCTGCTGTGCAGATGTGACAGGAGGAATGTGGCGCCCAGGCTATACCATTGACACAGGCTCTGTGGTTGCTGAGTCTGGCCACTGGAGTACAGGGCACACGCACATCTAAGATCACCACCTGAGGGTATGACAAAAGAAATCCATCTATCGTCATTTCATTTCTAACTTAGATATTTATATAAATATTAAGAATGTCATCTAAAAAAAAAAAAAAAAAAAGTCATTTCACGCAAAGTTCAATATGCAGACCAATGCTTTTGCTCTGTGAAGAAGGATAAGCATAATAGTGATGTATATACACATAAAACAAAACAGAACATAATGCAAGCAATTACAGTATGTTTCCCATGAGTTAAAAATCACCTTACTTTCTTTTCCAACTTTCCATGCACAAGCACACAAACTGAGTCTGAGAGATGCAGTTTTACATCATGGGTCCACAGAGAGAGCAGCCCTAACCTCCATGCTGTCCATCGCCATGGTGGCCAGGTAGTTGGGGTCCTGTTTGTTCCAGCAGAGTCGGAGCAGTGGGTGGTGCTGGGGGTCTTCATAGATGATAGTGCTGTGTTCGAGGTGCCGGAGGTCAAACATGCGGACCGAGCCGTCAGCTCCCACCGAGGCAAACATATCCCTGCCGCCGCCCGCTCGGCTGAAAGAGATGTCATACACCTGCAACACAGACAGACGGTGAGTTCTCATCAGCTATGCAGTGAGGAGCATTTCACATAAAAGATGGGTGTCCAAGATTATTGTCTATTTTGTAATACTCGAAGATTTGATCCATCGTATCATAAAATTTACCTCTTTGTCATGGGCAATTAGCTGCGTCTTGACGTGACCTGACACTAAGTTGACCCTTCCCAGCACCTGTCCAGTCTCCAGCCCCCAGATCGTACAGGTGGTGTCAATACTGGAAGTACCTGCACAGAAAACATACACACAGCAAATACAAGAACAGAATATTCTCAGTGAAGCTCATCATTTTTTTTCTGCTACACTGAGCTCTTACCTAACAAGTTTGGATCCACCTCGTTCCAGTCGAAGGATGTGAGTGGCGCACAGAAGTCCGAGTTCTTGTTATTGTTGAGCAGGCACTCCAGACGGGTCTCTGTATCACTGACCTTTTGATAAAAAGAAAAATTATTCTCAATATTTCTGCACTTTGTGAAAAAAAGAGGACTGGTAGAAATATTGCATACAATTTGTTCATCGGCGTTTTAGACAATGTTCCCAAAAAATAAAATAAGAAGGTAAAAAATAAGGACCTGACATATCCCTGTACCATTTAATAACCAGTTTGAATTATATAGTTTTTAAATAGTGCATAGTATGTAATGCATTGACTAATTTTCTCAGTGTAAAATGAGAAGGGTGAGGCCGTCGGTTCAGGTCAGACTTACCCTCCAAATTCTCAGGTAGTCTCCGCTGGTGGCCAGCAGGTCAGGGTACACTCCTTTGGTGTCGGGAATCCACATGATCTTGGTGGTGGGATAGGGATGGTCGAAAGTGTTTCGGCACAAAAACTCGGAGCTCTCCTCCTCCAGACCAACTATCTGAACCTGAAGAGACACAATAACAACTCACCTTGAGTGAGCCAGTGTAGTGTTACTTATCTGATCAGGGAACAGTACAGTCAGTCAGTGGTGTGACAGGTGGTGATGATTCTAGCGATACACAGCTGGGGATAATCCAGGCAGGGATACTGTAAACGAATTAATTTCCCAATATTCAACCCGATCACTTTCATTGTCATTTCATACTTTTCAGTTCTTTGCAAAATCGCCATGTGTCCAGTTTCTGCTTGTGCTGATAGCAACTAAATGAAGTAGTCGCTTTTACAGCTGTGCTAATCAAAGTTCTGTCAACAGAAAATTGATCAATCACAATTTTAATGAAATTCAATATCTAAAAAGTTAGAAGTTTGTCATCAAATATACAGAAATTGTAAACTCAACACTTTAGAACATAAAAAGCTAAATATAAAGACATAATCTTAGACTTGAGCAACTTGAGATGGGAATTTGTCAAACTTTTTTCTAAATCAATAAATTAATCGATGATGAATATAATCCTTGTCTGCCCTATTAAGTCCATATATTTCTTATGAATGCTAAATAGGAGTGTGACAATTTTTACTTAGAGAGCCCATTTCAAAATCAAAGTTTCAATATGCTTCACATCAGCCAAATTTAAACTCATTACATCTAGATACAAGAAACAGATCAAACCAATTCCAATATTTTAAGATAAAATACTGTATTTCGAGTGTGAACAACTGACTTTGAACAGAAAACTTTTTTTTGGCATTACAATGAAAAATGTGTTAATTTTCATGTTTTTGTTATTTTCAAATGAGGGCAAACTGCCCCCTACATCCTCTTTATCACAAAATGTTTTATACATTCACAGGCTGTTTAATATTAATTTAATACACTCTACATTGCCAGATTTAAACAGATTATCGCCTAAATTTTGCCTGATATCACCAGTATCTATCAGTAGGCCTATAAATCATGTTATGATACAATATTTGCAGGTATTTCCTAATACTACTTAGCTGTCCATTAAACTGTAATGTGAAGGGAGCCAGGAGCAAATGGACAAAAGAAAACTTTGCATTATTTATAATTAATATTCTTCTTCTCACAAACAAAGTTAAACTCTTCCAGCTATTCAAATTTAACACAGGTGGACCACATTATCACCATAATTGTCGATGTTTGCCAGTAAAAGCAGCATGGGGCAGGATGTGCGCTTTGAAGTTACCTTGTTATTGTACTCCTCCACAAAGCTACCGAGCGCCAGGCGGAAGCGTTTGTCCGGCCGGACAGCCCAGTTCATGGCATAAACTGTCCACGGCGCTTCGTATTTGTAGATTTCTTTACGCTTACCGTGTAGCGACATCTTTAAAGATACTACAAATAACCTCTGGGTGGGAAATAATTACCAGGAGGGAAAGAAGACCCTGAACGCGTCTCGGCAACCGCCTACTTTACCAATGTAACTTATTGTCTCCGATAACGTTGTGTAATTTCAACAGAAGTGAGCTAACTGTTGAGTCCATGTAGTCGGGATATTTTCCCGCCGGTAAAACACAAACGTTATATCCAAAAAATGTGTTAAACGTGTGAAATTGGTGGCTCACAGCTGCTGAGAGATGTTCATAATATGGCAGCAATGGCGGAGACCACAGGACTAAAATAGTACGGTGATGATGAGCGTCATCGAAGCTGTTGTTGTTGCCTTCAAGAATATCGTAATTATTACAACAACGCACAAAAAACGGACCAGCAAGTAGTTTTTGGAAAAATTGGTGGTTTGATATCTCTGTTCTGGGAGATTTTTGGAACAGTCAACATATAACTAATGTTGTAGACTGTCTTACACCGAAATAGCCAACATTTAAACATTATGACCATTAAATAAGACATCAGTTACCTTAATTCTTCTTTTAATTTCTTTTCACTGTAATTATTTGCCATTTTCATCCAACAGAAATAGTTTCTATGTTATTATTTGTGATTTTTTTTTTATGTCTAACGACTTCTAGATTTATTTATTTAATTTATTTATTTGTATACAACTTCATAAAGGTTTACAAAGAAGCACTTGAAGGCTACTCCAGATCTTGCCCACACCCGAGAAGCTGTATGAAAAGCTCAACAAAGAGCCACCAAACAGAAATATTAAGCATCTCTTTGAACAGAGTTGAGGCTCATTAATGTTGTTTGTAATTGTCTATTTTTCAAAAAAAAAATTATTTAGATCGTATTTTTCCCATTCTTCTCTGGCCTGCACCCTGCTACTGTACATGTGGATCCTCCACACATTTCCTGCTATGATATTGAACCTTATACGTAATGCAGGCAGAAAGGGAGAGGATTATTCATCAGCAGCAACAGCCCATTTGTCATCATAAACCCAAGCTTTGACACCTAATTTCCCTGTAATGTCTGAGGTTTTTAAGTTGCCACGCAACATCTGCACCTTCATTTGCACAGGGTTCCATAAATGAGTTTTCACAATACCCTGTTTGCAAATATTGCTTTTGATCATCACTTTTGATGAGCAGAGGTCAATGGATTTTGAAGGATGTAATTTGTGACAGATGCATAGTAGACCTAGCATAGTTGCTCTCTGTTTTTATGATTATCACTTAAAGCCTTAGTCGTTTTTCCTTCTCTTTTTAACCTTGTTATTGGATAGATTGACATTTTGTACAGACACTCATGGACCTCAGAAGATAAATTTGACTCTAGCATCACTGACAGGTTGACATTTTTTGCTTTTAGCACAATGCCTTAACAACTACCGGGTGGATTCCCAAGAAATGTTGAACAGATGCATGGTGTGTATAGGATGACTCCCACTGACTTCACCAGCAGGTCATATTTTTCATCTTGTGAGATATGTCAACATCTACTTGGTGGAAGTTCGGCTGTAAATTCATTCTTTTGTCATTAGTGGGACAAAAGTTGGAGAGACAAAAGTAGAGAAACAACAAAAGCCAAAATTAAACCACACTGAACCTTTGCTCAACTGTCTTATTTAATTTAGTTATTATATCATTAGAAAAGCATTTTCTTTATGCTCCACTTAAACCACTGACCTGCTGTCATATCAGGAGGAAATTTATCATGTCCCTCATTATCACACCTGCTGAGTCTCCTGTGCTCTGCGGGTCTGCTCTTTTCCATAAACAATCCATGTGCTTTGCAAAACTGCCACTGACGCCAATTCATCAATTTGACTGATGTCTTACCACAAACCTGTGCAGCAGCTTCCACGGATGTTTAGCACTTTTGTCATCAAGGCAACAAGATCTGCAGCGTATACACACAACAAAACCTCAACAACAGGTACAGTATGTGTCTGTGTTTTTTGTTCATGTATCAACCGATAATGTGCAGTGAATTTCAAACTGATAAATGAAACAAAGACACCATTTTCTTGCAGGATGAGTCAGTGTTATGACAGAATTACAGTTACAGTCGTGCATGTGAGTTTGTGAATTCATTTTTCATGCTCTAAAGTAGTATGCCTGTGTCTTTCAGGTCTTTTATCCACTCCTCTGCTCAATAATGCTGCCTGAGGTTCATCTTTATTCCAAGCATCTGTCCAACAGCTCTGCCACATCTGGACATTTCCTCACCATATATGATTTTTATGCGTGTAAAGGTTTTGAACAGGGCACGTATCTCTGGGCTACTTGTTCAGCTCTGTGCTTCGCTTTTGGTTTTCCTGCTTCTATTGCCATCCTCTGGGAGATGTTTAAGACACACAGGAGAGGAAGTCCATTCACACCAAATGATCTTTTCATACTGAATGTCTCCGCCATGGATGCTGTTTTCTTGTTCTTCATCCCACCTGGAATATTTAACAATTTCATCTGGAAAAATATGGTCTTTGAATCGATTTGGAACAGTCTTTATGCCTTGAACACATGCGGGAGACCCCTCCTGATGTCTTGTGTCTGTCTGGACTGCTACCTGGCTGTGGTTCATCCAATCACCTACCGTAAGAGGAAAAGTCTGACTCCCAGAGTTATAATGGCCGCCATTGTTTGGACTTTGACGGTTGCGGATGGGATTGCATACTTTATGTCTTACAGGTTATACTTAACCATGTTTTCCAATGTGCCATTTATAATAGCTATGGTAATAATTGGTGTCTGTGATTCTTTCATTGTTTATACATTAATTAAGTCTGACCCCAGCAGAAAAAACATCCATCCACAGAAGCAAAGAGCCATTCAGACCCTCATCAACAGCCTGATCATGGCAGTCGTCTCATACCTTCCTCCAGTACTTCTTTATTCAATCGGTTTACCTCTGATCAGTGCCAATACCTTCATGTGTACTATTGGTATCCCAGTTACTATTACTTCCACTTTGGGATCTGCTGTCATGCCTCTACTCTACCTAAATAATCTTGGGAAATTGTATTGTTTCAGGCTTGGATGCTGCCGGAAGTCATAGTTTATGTACTACTACTACTACTCGTCTCTACTTCTCCCTCTTGCCAAATCAGGTCCTGTAGAAGCTATATACTGTATATATATATATATAAATAAAGCAAACCTTTTAACTTTCCTTAACTCTTTCGGTCAGCTCTGATATGTTTGAAAGTTTAATAGAAATTACACCAACTCTGTTCCCAAGAAAGCCAAAGTGTCCTTTTGTGATTCTTTCCTAAATGTCAGTTATTTATTGTATGTTGTTCTTTTATATTGTTGTTTGCACTAATATTTTGTTTAGCTGTAAAATGACATTACTGTAAAAAATAAACAAAGAAAAACTGAGTTCTCCTATATATTACAATCTGTATTCATAAGACTCTGCTCGTATGCTTTGGGACCTGTGTGCTTAATGTTCATAGTGTAATGAGAAATAAATACTTGTGTTACAAAGTAAAATGTACAATAACATTGTTGAACTCATGAGTAGTCTTTGGTGTCACAAGAATTTTATGGGCCTTTGGAGACAGATAATACATCAGAGCAAACTGAACTATTAGCATTTCAGGTTGGAAGACACTGTGCTTCAGCGTATAATAAGTCCAATAAACAGGTGAGAAAAAGTCTTACGTGGGGTTCGTCCTCATGTACAGTGCTCAGAGAACAAATGTAAATAATGAGGGCAAGCGGATTATCTTTCATGACAGTTGTACTGCCACAGGTGCACAGGTATAAACAATCATTTACATGTTGTAGTACACAACAGAGAATGAACAAGTTAAATGAAAAAAATATATAGTATATATATATATATATATATATATATATATGTGTGTACTTGAGCTGAAATAAAAGGGAAAAAGTGGATGAGTAGTTAAAAAAAGAAAAACTTGCTTGCTGAGTGGTTTCATGATTCTCTTTTTGAGTATTACATATTCTAATGAAGCAAACAACACATTTACAGTGTTTATATTGAACCACTAGAAAAGGAATTGGTGTTATACAGTTATATAGAATAAACACTAATACGTGGATCTCTCATCCTCCATCTCCTTCAGATAAATAGTGTAGTTGTAGTTCAAGTCATCATCACTGGGTGGCAGGAGCAGGTTGTAGAGTTGCAACACTAAAGTGAGAGAAAGGGAGGGATTATTCTACCCAAGTCTAAGTGAAGACAGGACTATTTGACAGTTAATGATAGTTTCGAATCGTAGCAGTCTCAAGCCAATAAACTGACAGGATTAATTCCAAGAAGTTGTCACCAAGTAATGGACTGGATCTTCTTACCTTTGAAAGATGTATCGGTGTAGAGCTCAGACTTAATGCAGTTTACATAAAAGTTAGAAAATGAGAAGAAATCCAATTTTTCCCTCTGTCAAGGATCAGAACATGCTGGAGGTTCAAGTGTTTTATATGCTTTTCACACACATAATGTATGCAAACAATTCCATATAGAAATGAGCATTTCTTTAAAAAAAAATTAATGCCCCCAACCTCCCAATGTATTCCATCAAATTAGCTACCAAAATGATTGTTTTTTATTTATATACTACACATTCACACAATGGGGCTTACTGACCAAACAGGTAGGAAAGGATGCACGGTAAACTCCCAACACAATGGTTATTATTTATGTCCTGTCACAATCACACAAACTGTGAAAGATAAAAAATATTCACATGAAAAGTACAAAAGATATATTTTTCTTCAAAATGTAAATTACAGATATCTAATTTTATAAAACCTCTAGCACACTCCCGTCAGTTCACTGTTCCTTCCTTCCTCGCTCCTGGATGAATACATGCATGAGTTCTTTGCCTCGGCCACACCTGAGACCTTTCAACACACTTGCATACGTAGATGGTTAACAAACATATAAAACAGCCGTACTTTCTATTTTCATTCTGTTTATGATTTCTCTGCAGAGCATCACTGTAACACAATTTAACAGAACCAAACATCCATTTTCTTTTTTGACATTTAGCTGGTTTCCATCGGAAAGCTGAGCAGTTCAAGTGTTCAAGAAGACTTCAAGAGAGAGGGAGAGTGGGAGGACACTGAAAATGTCCAGTGCCAGTCCGCAGGCTCCGTACCAGATTTAGAACATGTGAATAAGTTTTATATTGAAATAACTGTCAAAGAACAAGACCAACTAGAACACAGATGGGTTTAAAGACGAGCAGACAGGTTGCCCTCTTGTCTGATGTTTAACCTTGTCTGTGAGACTCCTTGGTAATGTGCAGGCTACATGAGACATCAAAATGAACAATTCATACAAAAAAAAAAAAAAAAAAAAAAGACACTACAGTGTAACACAAGCACATTAACTGTGGCTGCATTAAAGGTGTATGTTGTGGTCTCATTACAACCAAGAAAAATATCACATTCTTCAACAAAGAGGGAAAGTCTGTGAGCTGTGCTACAATGATCCTGTGAAAACTTTGTATTCCCAGTAGAGGTGATGCTCACGTTTACTCACTGATTTCTTTTAAACATTCCAATATGCCATCCCCATATGCTTCAATTTCCTCACACCTTATGGTTGATGTTTTAAAGCTTTTGGAAATTTTAAGGATTCATTGGTTCTATTGGGTGTCAAGGGGTGCTCCTTTAAATTACACACTCCTCTATAGGCTGAGAAACTTCTATTAATGTTATATATATAATAAACCTATTATATATAGCACAGGATCAACGCCATAATACATTTGAGTCAATCTAAACTCTGTTTTCTTTGTGAAGATATGAGGTCTTCACCTGACAGCAACTATACATATGAAGGGTTTCATTCCAAAACACTATACTGTGTATCCATTATAATATAAACATTAAAACCTGTAATATCAATCATATCACTCAAAAATAATTGCATTCTATACAACGTTAGTTTATGATAATTGATGGTACTGAAATAAACTCTTCCCATGTTTTTCATAAAGAAAAAAGTTATTTTTATGTAAGAAAATTTAAAATTCGGTATATATTTTTTAGAGATCTTATTCTGGAACAAAACTCTTCAAAACCCGTATGAGAACATCAAGATAAAAGACTTTAAGAGTACAACTGACGTGATGGTGGAGGATGACGGGGAGCATTTCAACAAACATCTCAGGCCTCCCACTCATGACCAGACACACTCTGTTCATTGTGTGGACAATGTCTGAGAAATTACACATCTCAGAAGTTCTTCCTTAAAAAAATGTTGAAACTCAGTAGTAGCTGGTTGCACCTGGATAATAAGCTGCAGTTTGTTTAGTACATAACGCAACGCGGTGAAATCATGTCACCCACTCACTTATTTCAGGGATTACGCTGAACCACATTCGGCTGCAGAGTCCCAAACCTCTGCAGAATAAAAACTCCACTTCTGTCTTTTCAGAGCTGTGACAACATCGGTCGCTGGGACGTGCGAGCTGGGAGAGAGCTGACTTTCCAACGAGGACATGGGGCTCAGACAATGGCTCCATTGACTCTGTTTGACCTCCCCCAGCCCAACACTAGTTAACATGAAAAAAAAAAGAAAAAAAAAAAAAACAGGCTTCAAAAAAATGCTGTTGATTATTAACTGTGATGCCAGTGTGTTCTCGCTAAGTGGAATTTGAGCCATGCATTGATTATCCAAACCGAGCAGAGCCACATTTTTGCCTCCTCAGATTCACATTCAGCTCCAGTGTCCAGTGCATTGCTCACTTTTACACAAAAACACAAACAGCACAACTGCTTTTTATATATGCTAATTCTTCACTTACTTTGGATTATATTTACCAATAGCTTGTATGCTTTCTTGCACAGTGAACGGTCACCAAAAAACCAAAAGGCCTATTATGATAACACAAGCTTGGGGGGGCGTATACAGTATCTTTACATGCATTTTGCATCATTACACAAATAATTCTCCCTAATTCTTTGCAAAACTGTCAATCCCTGAAAGGTTTTCTCTATCTTAATCAGTTATTCACTATGTTTTTACCATCAAAACTTTAATTTGTGAGATTTGAGAAGCTTAAAAAGTCTGCCTGTACCTCATATCTCATCTGTCGTACCACAAAGAAGCTGCAGCCACCGACACTAACAACCACATACATCAGTGCGGCACAATGCCTCTGTCTTCTCCATACAGGATGCCTTTCTTTCTGGGAGCATGTCTACTGGCCAGATGGGCTGCAGGGCCTTCTCTGGCAAAAACAAAATGGCTTTGAGTGTACTGAAGACCCCCATCAGGTCCGGGAGAAAGTGACCAGAATACTAAACACACTCTTCAATGCATACCATGGCTCACTTTGTCAATGTGCTCTATATGTTTTTCTCTATTTAGCGGGCCTGAGTGGTGTATCAGGACACGAGAGGGAATTTAAGCTCCACATGTAGAAACAACCACATATATTAAACAAGTTAAAAGAAAATGAGAGTTTAAAAAAAAAAAAAAAAATCAGCATTCATGAATCCAGTCAAATGTTGGATTCTGTGATAATCAGACCTTTCTCGTACCACGATGAGTTTCCACAAATGTGAACTCCTTTGCTTATCAAGTACTGAGTTATTTACAGAGGCTGAGTAAACTTCTTTTTGGCACTTAACAGTCGCAGATTGCTGAGAGGAAGACAGGAATACAAATGATGCCACGGACACCAGATGAATGCTACACAGTGTTGAGTCATGGTCTGCCACAACTGGGCCATTTGGTGACTTTTGCCTGACATCCTCCGCTGGTTTGGATTTTGGGTGCTTCATTTGATATTGAGAGAAGATTCGGTTCCACATGCTCATTCCCAATGTCAAACACACACCCAGGTCATTTTCTGTCACACAAATATCCATCTTCCCTTTCTCTCACTCCTCTTTTACCTCAGTAGAGCACAATCTGTGACTCCTGGTGAGTTCATCACATTACCCCTGTTCCTTCACCTCAAGTATGTCCACTCCAGGTGTCTGCTAGTCCCAGATACTCTGGATTCTCTGCCGTGGGGGTCATAAACCCGTTCACATGCCTGGGCATTCCTCCGTCTCTCTCATCCCCTGTCCCAGCTACTGCTTTGGCTTTTGCCACAAGGTCCAGATAGTACGGGTTATCAAAGGCTGGGGAGGTAGAGACCCCGGTGACCAAGTATCCTGGGTTTTCCACACTGTGACCGGAGCTCAGGCCGTTAGGGAGGCGTCGGTCTGCTCTGGAGCCTTTGCGAGGCAGCGTGCTGGGCCGCTCGGGGACTCCCGGTCTGGGATCCAGCATCTCCTGGTTGACGTACTCTGATTAGGTGGACAAAGGAAGAAATGTCAGAACAAAGGATTGAGATGTGATTTAGAATGAAACTGTTCCTTTCATGTTATTGATCTAAAATTTTTTTGAGAGACAGCCTTCAGTGGAAGAAATCACCCGCTCACCTGGCAAGGCATGATTATGATTATACCCATGACTCCGTCTGGGCAGTGAGTGATGAAGGTGATGAGGATGATGAAAGCCATTCGGTCCGTCTGTCTCCAGATCACCCTGGCTCCCATTGGGGTAGGTGGGATCTTTACTGTAGCGCCCAGGGCTGCCCGGGGGCAACGAGGGGTCGTCCGGAGGCCCGTCCAGGAAGACAGAGTCGGACTGGCCTCCGGACGAGGGGCTGCGAGCCAGCGTTGGGTACTGAGGAGTCCACAGGCCGTTGGAGGTGCTGGATCCTAATGGTAGGGTAGGATACTGGCTGCGGCCAAGAGTGCTCAGGGAGGAGTACATGCTCCGTGGGCCGCCCATGATGGAGGGCTCAACATCTAAGCCCTGATCTCTGCTCTGTTGGAGAGAGACAGGGGAGATACATGATGAATGAGAAGGTGAATCCAGCAACTAAAAGGTTCTCAGGTCTTCAAAACAGCTAAGCTAAGTGCAAAGTACCAAAGTGAGATTGTTTTTATCAAGCCTAGGCAGCCAAAAAGTCCTCCCCCACTTACCCTGTATGACTGGTGTCTGGATGGCCCATTGGAGTGAACCCCGTCTCCGTGAGTCCTCGGGAAGAGGTTTGGCTGAGGCACCAGATACTCCTCAGCATCCAGCAGTTCCCTCATATTGTTCCCCTCCTCCTCCATTAGCGTCCGGAAAAACTGGCTGTCCACTGGGCTGGACATGCTCATCTGCTCATCGTTCTGCAGGACAGAGAAACAAATATATATATGTATAGATATATATATTCACATATCTGTCCTCTTTTTCAAGGGATGCAATGCTAAGAAAGCAGCATGAAAAAAGACGGAAAAAAAGAAAAAACAATCACACAGAAGTAAAACATTTGCAGCAGGAAACACACGTGCACATACCTGAATGACTACATAGCGAGGAGGATCTCTGGCCATGACGCTAAAATCATTCACCAGATTTTTGAACTTCGGTCTGCTCTCTGGGTCAATCATCCAACCTGCCGTTCAAACATAAAGTCACAATGTGAACAAATTGTCTCTGATGCAGTTTACTAATATGCCTAATTTGCACACCTGTTTAATAAGGGACAGGTAACAGGGAAATACATTAGAGTTGTCTCAGAAAGCTTGACTCTGTTGAAATTGTTTCCGAATAGATTTTCCAAACTGTTTAGCCTAAAATGTTCAACTGCACAGTTCAGGAACATTAACTCCTCTGCTCTGACCAAACAGAAAATGGACTACGATTTAAATAAACATGTTCATGTGCAGTTTGCATATTTACCAGTCCAGTAAATGAGTGAATTTCTTAAACATTAAGACACAGACAAAATGTAACATCAATGCTGCAGTAAGAAGAGCAATCACTGACATTTGACCATGATCATGTAGACGTCGATGGTGCAGATGAGGGGCTGGGGAAGGCGTTCTCCTCCCTCCAAGACATCTGGGATTTCCCTCGCCGGGATCATGTCATAGGGCTTCGCACCGAATGTCATCAGCTCCCAGACTGTCACCCCTGAGATGTACGATTACAACAACAAGATATCCACCAAAATGATAGTTAACACTTGAAAAGTGTATCATTTACTAATGACACATGTAAAGACGACTGGCAGGAAACTAAACTAACTTTACTGCTACTTTAAGTGTGTGCGATTTAAATTTTTATCACTGATGAAAAAGAATATTGTGAAAAAGGAACTGCTTGTTGTATCCTGCTACATTAACTAACAATAACTACTAACAAGCAGTAACATGGAGACTCCCAATAAATGGCTCTACAGTTTTTTAAAACACTATGAGTGATACTGACCGTAGCTCCAGACGTCACTCTGATGAGTGAACTTCCTGTGCAAAATAGACTCCAGAGCCATCCATTTAATCGGCACCTAAAAACACAGACATTCCAGTTTTAAAAAAATAATAATTAAAATCATTCCCAGTGCTGATGCTGCTACAGCCACAGTCCCATCTTACTTTCCCTCCATCGGCATGATACTCAGTCTCGTCTATGTCCAGCAAGCGGGCGAGGCCGAAGTCGGTGATCTTCACGTGATTTGGGTTTTTCACTAGAACGTTGCGGGCGGCCAAATCTCTGTGGACCAGCCGGACCTCCTCCAGATAACTCATTCCCTACACCAACACACACACACACACACACAGATCCATCACCCACAGAGCCATGTGTCCACAAATATACAAACTAATACCACATCAAATTTGAAAGGAAAAATAAGATGACAAACAAAATTAACAGCAACATCCAGACACAGCTGTTCTATTAAGAAAGATGTGCAACTTGACATCTACTACAACAATCTGCCTGTGCTTCAACAAAAAGATGATATGTTGTTTCTTGCTGACGTACCTTGGCAATCTGGACACACCAGTTGAGGAGGAACTGGGAGCCGATGTGGTCCTTGTTCTCCCTGACGTAGTCAAGAAGGCAGCCGTACGGCATCAGCTGAGTGACCAGCTGCACCGTGGAGGTCAGACAGATTCCCAGAAGACGACACACGTAAGGACTGGCAACCCCCGCCATCACGTAAGCCTCCTGGGAGACGACAGAGCAAAGACGTTGTGAGGTTGTGAACTGTATTTATGTGTGCTGTAACTTTATGTGTGTGTATATCTGGCTTGTACTCACATCAAGGATTTCTTTATTGGCCTTTGGCGAAGTGTTCTCTCGTAATACCTTAATAGCCACTGGTATTTTCACATTTTCCCCATCAGGAGCCCACACTCCCTGAAACAGTTAACAGTCAAAACTTTCAAGAATCTCACCAACGATGTGAATCTAAATATCTAAATAACAACAAATGCTGTATTTGTGCATCTTTGTAACAGCTCACATACCTTGAAAACAGTACCAAAGGCCCCTGCACCCAACACCCTGAGTTTTTTCAGCTCGGTTTCCTTTAGGATTCGCATCTGAGCCTGATTGGGTGACGCACCACTTGGTGTAAGAGGCTCCACCAGCTGTACACATGAAGGAAGCAGATGGCAGATTCCTTCATTACACATATTACAACACCCAAGGGCAACTTAAGCGCATTTAGCACATATTTAATTTATGTTAAGAACCAGGCTTCCACCAAATAACTTCCCACTAGTTTCAACAACACATGCTTCACGTCTAACGCCCAAATACAAGTGACAATATCAGTATTTTGGACCAGTGCTCCTGTCAATCTCAGCGCCCACCTCATGTTCCTGCAGGATCCTCCTCATGGTCTCCTTCCTCCTCAGCTTCTTCTGCCTCTTCAGGTAGAAGACCAGCAGAGCCAGCAGGATGAAGAAGAGCACCACCCCACCCACTGCAGCCGCGATGGTCGTACCCGGTCTGAACAGAAAGAAACGAGGTGGAAATTGTGAAATTGTGAAATGAGAAATATTGGAAAACATAATTACTTAAATAACTTAAAAACACTCAGGTGTTTTAACAGTTATGGTATCTCACCCTGTTCTGGTATCAATGGGGCAGCCTCTGTCATCCATCACAGTGCAGCTGAAAACAGAGAAACATTAGATGTGAGGTCGTTCTCATCGTGTCTGCAGAGGGTGCCTGTAATTGATTTGATTGTTTTGATGTGCGTCCACTCACGACAGTGTGCAGTTGGTGCTGCAGGGCAGACAGTGTCCTGTCGCATTGTTGTACTTCCACACAGTTTGCTGATCCTCCTTCACACCGCTCGGACAATGGTCCACACAGAACTCACCGTCCTGGAAGTTTCGACACTCTGTGCAATGTTCTGCACCCTGAAGACACACAGAGAGAAACACACATCGTATCGTATATATAATAAGTGGGTGAATTTATTTAGATTATTTTCTGGTCATTTTTGGGAGATATGAGGAAAAAGCAAGGGGGATGACATGTAGTAAAGGTCACCAGCTACAACAGGACCTTGCTGATACATGGTATGTACCTAAGACAAGTAGAGCACAGGGAAATCCACAGTTTATTTTTTCTAAATAGACTTTGAATTTTCAATCCAGTGCAAGAGTGAACAAATTTGGATTACACATACCAAGGGCTAATTTCTGAAAAGCAGTTGGTTGGTTAATAGAGACATTTTATTTTTCAGATCTTACTTAGGATAGAAATCAATCACATAATCTCATTCAGCCCCGTATGCTCAGAAACACCGTGACAAATCTTACCGGGCCGTGACAGGAGGCAGAGCCGTTGAGAGGCCGACACTCTGTGTGACAGGCAACACACAAAGATCCGTCTGTGTATTCACGTATAGCTCTGCAACAGAAGCACAGACGGGATGTGACACAACATCTCAAGACATAGTCTGTCATTTGTTGGGTGCATTTATCAAGAGCATCTGATAGTGTCATGAGGAAAGAAGGGGGGTGGGGGCGTGGGGGGGGACTTCATTTGTTTAAGAAATAGTTTAACATTTTGGGAAATGTGCTTTCTTGCTTTCCTACTGAGAGTTAAATGGGTTCAATACCTTTCTCACATCTGCACAGTAAATGTGAAGTTACAGCCAGCAGAAAGTTAGAGAAAGTCCAGCTGTTAACAACAGTTTGTCATTTTTACAGTTTGGTTTTTGTACGTATTAAACCAATGAGATATAACACGTGAATTAGGGAGCTCTATGCTAAGATAACCTGCTGCTAACTATAGCTACTTATAGCTAATTATAGTACAGACATGAGAGTGGTACTGAGCTTCTCTCTAACTCTTGGTTAGAAAGCAAATGTGCATATTTCCAAATTTCTAACTATTCCTTTAAATTGTCGAGGTAAACTGTGATTAAAAAACACAATTAGTTACTGTCTTCGTCTTAATATAATACAAGACAGTAAATATGTGATTTTAAAAACATTTGCACGTTATGCTTGCTCAGTGTGATATAGAGTTTAGCCATGCTCAACCCTAGACCAAAGTAATGCAAGCAGCAAATACATTTTCAAGCAGAGAGAAAACAGGTTCCTTGTTTCATCATCAAAGTACAATTATTCAAACATAATTTAAGAGGTGAAGCACATATGAAACGTTGAGTCATGCTTTTGTGTGTGGCATTACCTCACCAGTGGGACATTTTGAATAAGAACTTATTTCTGTGTTATCTTGTGAATCTGTCACTAACAGAGATATAGATTGAACAAAAATACACCCAGTTACTGTTCAAAGAATAAGCTCCCTGGTGTTATTACGTGTATGTGCTCTGTCAGTGATGTAAAAGCTTTTAGATTGATTTATTGTGACAACTTACGCATTTGGAATTGACGGCCAAACCACTCAACCCCACATGCAGCCACCTGTTCATATCTTTACTTCAGGCCAATGCATTTAAGTTATTGATTTATTTACTGGAGAACTTGTTGGGGATTATGACACACAGTATACTGAACACTGGAACATTATCAATTAGTTTTTTTTATTGATTTAGTGCAGACACACCCACAGACAAACTTCCCTACCCCTGATAGATGTCGCACTGCTCCACACACTCTGTGCCACGTCGGAAAGCTTTGCAGGACACACACTGGCCGGGCCCGGGCCCCCAACAGCCCCCATCACACAGTGGGTGACAAATGTGCCCTTCTGCATCTGAAAAATTGATGGACAGAGTCAGCAGAGCATGATGCACAGGGTGTTTTATGATGGCTTCTTCTCGACAACAAAAGTATAAAACAATAAAATGCATGAATGTTACTTTAAATAAAATGCACAGAACAGTGTTTTCTGCACTGTCCTTGCAGCTGGACCTAATAGTGTTAAACTTGGACTAACAGTAACAACTGCCTGATCAAAGTGCAACCCTCAATAACTTTGATTGGCCTTGGCCCATTACCCTGTTCTATGTGTGTTTCCACCTACCACAGACTTTAGGGTCCTGGTTGTGGTTGACGATGCGGTGGGGCCCCTGGGTGGGATGCAGGAGACTCTCCCAGGGCAGTGAACTGGTGTAGCACAGCTGGGAATTGTTGTGCAGCAGGACCAAACCTCCACTGACGCTGCGTAGTGAACGCAACCCAAGCGACTGGATGTGGAGATTTTGGATGGCAAGTGAAAACACACCCCTAAAAGAGAGGAAGAGAAGCTGAGTGACCAGAGGTGTGGGGTCATTTGAATGATTTTCTTTTTTCTCATCTCGTTTTCAAATTTGGCTAAAAATCGTAGATAAGCTCAAACACATTAATGTATTGTACAAGATCTTGCATTAAGATGTATCTGTATTTATCATAGTTAAGTTTAATACTTTTTAACTCTGAGAAAAAAAAAAGATGTCTTAGTTAAAGGAGCAGAAAAGATTGAATCTGGACAAAACTGAAAAAATTAAGGGGACTGAGCCAGGACAAAGGAGTAAAATGGAGAAAGCAGGAATGAACATTTTAAAAAAGAAAAAAAAAACAACCCACATAAGATCATCTGACCAAAAAAGACAACAAATGACAGCAAGGTATACACTCAAATGACACGATGACTGCTGTAATTACCAAACAAGAGCCCATAATGTCAGCGCTTGCTATAAAACAGTGTCAGACAAGCAGATCTCTCACTTACCACTAGGACCTAGTGTCAGCATGCTAACATATATAGTGTCTCATAGGCTCTACTGTTAACCCCACTGGCTGTGATGCATTTTAAAGCTGCTGTGCTGGCTAATAATTAGCCTTAATTACCCTGAACTTGAACAAACTGCCTCAATGGAACCAAACATATGGAGATGAGCATGAATGAAAACACAGTGTGGGTGAATGGACATCAACACTGTGGCATTTGGTGACACACCACACAGAAAGAAACTGATACTCTACATTGACTTGATCTACAAGATAACAATGTAATAATGTGATAATTTTCTGCATTTAATATCTAACTAGACACAATCTGCGAGCAGCTAAAATAACAATGAAAGTTTAAAAGTCTTACTTGTAGAGCATCCGGCCCCGGATCACCTTCAGGTTTTCAAATACACTCAGGTCAGTCCACTCTTCAGGCCAGGCATCAATGTACAAGTAACCTGAACAGTAACATCAGTCAAAGATACTGAACACACTCTACCAGACGAGATGCGGTACGCTCTGTACACCAGGCTTCTATGCAAAGTTAGACCGAATTGGACAAACCGTCCCTGCAACAGTTATGAAATCAAATACATTAAAAAAAAAAAGAATAATCTGATTTTATTTTCCTGATAGAGGCTAAAATAAAAAGAGTTGGATAAACACTTCTTCGCTGTTCAGTACCTGTAAGCTCCTCCAGTTTCTTGAAGGAACTCAGCTGCTCCAGAGTCAGGCCTGATGTGTTGGTCACAGGGTCCCTGGACAATGACAGCATAAGATTTGAGTTTTATTATGTGTAAATACTTCTCTACTGTATTTGAGTTAGATTGTCTTGAATATCTGAATGTCTTAAGAATAAGAACAAACATGAGAGCATGTTTCTCTGCTGACACAGCGAAACTGTTGAAATGAAAAACACTTTAGAAGAAAATTCCAGGTCTGGCTTTGAAGTACACTTGAGTACAGTAATCTACAGGGTTTGGCTTGGAGAGTAACTTTCCTCTTGACTTTCACAAAGAAACATCTGCAAATGTTGCTGCAAACTCAAATATTTGCAGTGCTAAACAGGGGGGGGGTATGTGGCTTTATGGTGGTCATTATTTTATTCTGTCATTTCTAAAGTATCTTTGTGAGCTAAAAATGTTTTATATTTGGCCTGTTTATCTCTTACCTTGCAAAGCTCTGAGGGAGGAAAGCCAGACTGCCAAAAATCTTCTTACACTTGTTGAACTGCTCCACATTAGAAGATGTTACCATGGTGATGCCATGGTTATCCATGACACCAAGGTTGTCCATACCCAGACCATAACACACTGCAATACAAACCACAATGAAAAAGGACAGATTAATTTATCACAAAACCAGTTATTAACCTCAGTCTGCTAAAAATGTCCAATACGCCTGGAAAAGCATGATCCACATCCCTCCAAATAAAACACAACATCATCAGCATAGAATAAAACAGTGGTACACTGCCATAAACAACAAGGGTATAAGGTGATGTTGATAAATAGAGGATATGCTTTACCTTTAAAATCTGATGAAATGTAAAAGAGTTTAATCACAAAATTAAACTGTTCAAATCTTTGAAAGGTCTTGGTATATACACTAAGTTCATGTATCGTAATAATTTTTTGTGTAATAGAGAAAGAATAGCTGTATTAGTGTTTGTTGTGAATGTGAAAGAGGTTGAAATGAGGACTCAACACAAAGTAAAAAAAAAAGTTAAAGAATACAGCAGAAATTTAAGATCATGTGTTGTACGATGCACAAATTATCTAAATGTACCCATACTGATTTATGACCGCAGTAACAACAACAACAAGGTACTGTAGAAACAGGTTGGTTCACTTTGCGGTTGATTGTAAGCATGTGATACATCAGAACATCAGTACATGCAGTGCAAAACATTCTCACCTGTACTGACGCATCATGTCATGCACATGAAAAACCCAAAACTTCATCCAAAACATAATTTGAGCCCCATGATGTGAAATTATTTTTCTTCTGTTGGACTTCTGGATAGCTACTGTATAAACTGTATAAATAAAGTTTTGCGTCCAAATGCATATCTACCCATTCACAAAACCTCCATAAAGACACAAACCTTTGGGACAGTCTCCTTCACACTTTTCACATTTCTGCACCTCGTTTCCATCGGGCTGGGTGATGATGACTTCCTGGTTGGCTTTGGGACAAACCAAAGTACACGCTACTTCCATAGCTAGGTAGTTATCTACAGACAGGGAGACAAAGTCCTCAAAGGTCATCTTGGCAGATATAAAAATGAAAAGGAAATGATGAAATGGGGAGATGGTAGCCTAAAGGCTTGCAGAAGCAGGAATGTGATTTGAATATTGGTTGGTTTAAATTCCTGAAGTGTTTGTGGAAATCTTGGCAAGAAAAGCAAATAATGTTTGCTCCTCCTCCCTCAGCATGTACTACCATCAAGACTGAGAGCCCTGGTGTAGCTTTCTTGGATAAATAGGGGTGTTTCAAAATAAATTCTTACAGGGACACGTCTTGACACAGGTGGCTCCAAAGTTGAACTTCTTGTTTGGGTTGGGTTTGGTCTGAAAGGTGACAGGGTCGTAGATAGTGGGTGGAGGACAGTTCTCCTTACACACACCGCTGTCGTTGAAGTGACGACACGCCTGGAGGAAGAGGAAGGAAGAAACACGTTACTCCAAAAATGACAAAGGCTGGTCAAACAACACAAGGAAGATGAAGATGTGTGTGTGATCTACCAGGCAGTCCGAGTCTTTGGGTCCTGTGCATCCAGCAGCACACTGCATGTGACAGCAGTCATTGGGCAGCAGACCTTTACACCGCTGACAGCCAGACGCACAATTAATACGGGTCACTTTGAACAAAAAAGAGAAAGTTTCAGATGTATTTCACCTGCTCTCGACCAATGGAAACCATATAGTGTCACATTCATGCTGTGTACATTATGTTAACTCACAGGTTTGGCAGTCCTTTGCAGTTTCTCCCCAGCAGCCTTTCACACATGCAGAGGAACAATTTGGACCTGTGCCAGAAGAAAACCAACAACAACAAAAAAAAGAGAGCTAAGCACTTCACAGTTTAGCAATTCAACAAGAAAATAGTCTAGAGTCTAGAGCAATGCTACCTACTCTAGCTTTGAGCTAAATGCTGACAATAGCGTGACAACATGTTCACAGTAACAGTTCTAACATACTGATATTTAACAGTTCGAATTTATCAGGTTCACCCTCTTAGTTTAGCCTGTTAGCATGATATCCCCAACAACAAAATACAGCCAAGGTTGATAAGATGGTATGGTATGGTGGTTTAGCCATAAAACAAAGTACTTGTCAGAGGTGCTTCTGCTTGCTGTCGTTTTGTTTTTACTGTTTTTACTTGAAGCAAGTGTAATTTCTCTTTCTGCACTACCCTGTCAGATGTTTTATATTTCAATTAGCAAATCATCTGCTCACATTTAGAGGCCCGGGGCTGCAGCCGGTGCTGCTTGGCGTGGAAGTTCTGCTCATCCAACGTGTCCCTCCAAACAATGTTCTCAGGGTCTGGGAAACACAGCTGGGGGTTCCCCCAAATGTACACCCCACCCAACAGGATCTCTGCAGGGAAGACAAAGCATGCGAGCTCAGCAACCTACCATTACAGTAGTGGTGGTTTTGGGCATCAACTCGAAGCTCTACTATACTATCTGACCTGTGAGGCTACGAAGCCGGAGCGTCCTAAGCCCCTGTCCATTAAGAGTGTTATCCAGCACAGCCAGGGCATAGCTGGAGTTGTACAGCTGGCTGCCTCGGATAATCCGAAGGTTGTCCAAAGGCACCAAACCCACTGACACGTGGGCTACAAGGACATACCCCTGCACTTCCACGATCCCCTGGAGAAGAAGAGGTAGAGACAAAAAGGATGAACTGATGTGTCAACAGAAATAGGTGGATTGACTAAAAATATTTAGAGCTAACCACACTAACCAACTAAATACTTGCATTGTCGTCATTTGTTGCCACCTTCTTTATTCTATAACTAATGCATATGCCTCTTCTGGGGCAAGGTTACACCGAGTTTCCATTCAGTTCAGTCCCATCTTTAAAACTCATTCTTTTAAAATTGCTTGCTGTAACAATAGCGATATACCTGCAGGAAGGAGAGGTCAGGGTTTCCATGAAGGTGTGTAATCTCCAAGTTGCCGTGGACAACCTGGCAGCCAGTGTAGAGCAGCCTCAGGGTCTCGTAGTGGTTTTCCAGGCTGGAGGGCAGGGCCAGCTTCATATCTGTACCCAGGCACACTGCAACACAGATAACATATGACCCCAACTTCTCACAAATAAAATACTATTAAAAACTAACAGTCAACATTCATGACATTTTACTTTTTTATTTTTTTATTATTTTATTTCTCAGTTTTAAAGTCAATCTAAACAAACAAGATACCTTCAAATAAATTCCCAGGAATTCCATTAACCTAAAATATCCAAAATAACTGCTTAGTGCAAAAGCATAGTTAGGGCCCCAACACTCCATCTAGACTGAAATAATCCGATTAGTTTAGCAGCATAACAGCAGTAAAAACAGTCAAATGTATGATAATCACTGGATACAACATAATGAAATAAGAAGTTTATATAAAACACAGATTCAAAATCATCTACATAACGTCACACATGAAGTGCTGCACTGAAGACACCCACTTTTGATTCTTGCGTTTAATGCTGGAATTATGAGCCCATTAATCATGTAATGGGTGATAATCTATTTAGTAAAATTGCAAAATATTCTCAAGCATTTCAACTTCTCAAATGTGACAGTGTGTTGCTTTTTTATATCACTGTGAATGAAACATCTTTGGGTTTTGGACTGTAAGGGAACATGAAGACAAATGATGATGATGAACTGTAAAGATTTGGACTCCACATATTTTGACTTGTAACTGTTTACAAGTGGCCTTGAATGGGTACTTTGAAATACAAACCGCATGCACTGCCTCCGTCTGTCTCTTAGTGTATATGATATATTTTCCACTGGCAGCAGAGAGCACAGATTCCCCACAGTGGGTCACACACAACCTTACATTCAGGGTCATATAGCATTACAATTCATGGGGGCTCTCGCAGACACATAGCTCCCATGCTTTAGCAGACAGTCACACAGTGGACAGTCCCTCCTCTGCTGAGGTTATAAATGACTTCCTCTGGCTTCCTTCCAACAGCCCTTCAATAGTCAACCCACTTCCCCTGATTGAAGAGCCCCCCCCCCCCCCCCCCCCCCCCCCCCCCCCCCTCTGCTGCCATCTCCTTCTGGAAAACGCGGCTGTATGGACACATACATAATCAGAGGAGCAGGAAGTCCCGGCAGGCAGGAGGAGGGTGGTTGTCATGATATACTGAGGTTCAGCAGACTTCAGGAGATATGTGCTCAAGTCATGTTCCTATCAAGTATACATGTCTGCCAATGCGTACAGCTTTCTGCTGATTGCCGAGCACAGAGAACTTGACCCATATTACAGCCCTGCTAAGAGGTATTGGATCATACAGTGTAAATAAAGTCTATTAAAATCTGACAGCCAGCTACTGCAGTAAATGAGTCTGTGATTGCCAAAAATACACACCCAGTCGTTGCAGCTTGTGTCAAATATCAAATCAAATGACTAATCACTGCCTCCTTCAATGATGTCATCATGGAAAATAGTTTGACATGTAAAGCCAAGTGGGGAGTCGAGATTTTATCCTCGAGCATTTAAATAATTTTTAATAAGACAGAATCTAAACACAAACAGAAATCAACTCCCTGAAACACACAAACTACCACACACACACACACACACACGCGCACACAAACAACACAGACAGCTCCAGCTCTGGGGATTAGGTAAATGTGCCGTAACAGAAAGCACAACAGAGCACATTTTCCATTTCTAAAAAGTGTGTGTAAAGCCAGTTTCAGCTTCCTCTCCTTTTATTCCCTCACTGTTTGCTCTCCAAATGTCTCTCAGCAACGGCTGTGTGTGTCTGCGTGGCCTTGTGAGGAGCTGCCCACCCCTCCATCTCCACGGCCTAAAATACACTCCCTTTTATCACTTACTTTGCTCTATCTGCCTGCTGTCATGTCACTATCCCTGCCGTCCTCTTCTAAATTCACTCACAACATCATTTTACTACCTCTTTTCACCCATTCATTTTCCCCGTCCGTTTCTCTCAGCCTGTGACTTGTTACCCAACTCTTCTTGGGCTCTGGAAAATGTCATTTCACAGGAATGTGTGTCTTTGCATATCTTGATGATGACACACTTGGATAGTTTTCACCAGTGAGTGTGTGTGTGTGTGTGTGTGTGTGTGTGTGTGTGTGTGTGTGTGTGTGTGTGTGTGTGTGTGTGTGTGTGTGTGTGTGTGTGTGTGCATGGGGGGCGGGGGGGCAAGAGAAACAGGTTCTAGTTCAGTGACTTGTCCAAAGAGTCGTCTGCGGCATGTGACCCCTCTGTGTCCGACAGGTCACTCACACAACACGCACAACTAATGACTGACACAGACATCCACATCCCCACACACACACACACACACACACACACACACACACACACACACACACACACACTCAGCTGAACGTGTTAGTACGGGCTTCTGCACAGTGTACAATGGCAACCTGGCTCTGAAAACTTCCACTGGTCAGATGTTTCTGTGGTTAACAAGAGCAGGAATGAGAGTATTTCTACTTTCCTGCCTGTTGTCCACATTTTGATCATTGACTTGATTACAGTGGAGTCCCTCAGAACAATCCAGCATTCATTGTGATCACATTCACTGTTCTGGCATAAATGTCGAGGCGTCACAGCAGCTTGATTCAGATTCCACAGATGGTGATTTTACTATATTTGAGTTCCAGTCTGAAATTTACTCTACCTGCAAATTACATAACCTTAGTTCAGCGGAAGCAAGGCAACAATTGATTGTATAGCTCTTTCATTATATCTTTAATAGTGTTTAAAGGCCATTTTGCATATGAAATGAAGTCTAAAGAATCCAGAAGACGCTGTTATACTCCAGCCATCCAATTAAAGTTGTCAAACGGCGGGAGTAGAGGGCTGTTTGCTCGCCCTTGTCTTTCTTTATACCACTATTTTTGTCACATTTTATACGCACCAAATGCAACAATGTCAGGGCGGGTTATCCCTGTATTTAATCAATTACTGTGTCATCATCCAAACCTGATCTTTTGGAGCATACCCCTGCCTTTGCTCTTGCATTACTTCAACTTTTATCTAAACTAGTAGTTTAACATTTAATTGTAACATCCTGCTAACCCATTCCAACTTTCATGATACATCCAGTTAGCATGCATCAGGCAAGTCATCCTGTAAATATCAGCTCATGAAAAGAAAGTGAATAGAGGGTTGATTGTTCAGTTGCCGTTTCAACATATGTCAATGCTGTTAAAGGAACAGGGAACTTAACTGTTCACTCTAGAGAGTAGTGCCAGTGCCAGTAAATTGGTCAATTAAAATGTTGTGTGACCCTGTAGGATTTACAGTGAGTGAATATGGACAATTAATACAAAACCATGTACCCTTACAATAATAGCTCAGGTACTTGAAACTAGAGCTGCAACGAACAATTGTTTTCATTATTAATTAATCTTTCTTTTTTGATGAACTGATTAATCTATAAATATCAGAAATTACAATTTGTAGAGCCCCAAGTAAAATGTTTAAATTGTCTAAATAAAAGTCCAAACATTTCAAAATGCTGATATAAATCAGAGAAAAGCAGCAAACCCTCACATTTAAGAAGCTGGAACCAGCGAATGTTTGGTTTGATAAATGACGTCAAGGATTAATCAATAACTTCTTCAACGAGTTGACAGACACTGGTTTGATGTTAATCTCTCTTTCTACAACACTGGCTGTGATGACTGTGTGCTGACTTTGTCCTGTACCAATGTGCTGCTTTAGACTGACTGAAAACTAAAAGCCACCTTGAAGCCACACCTGTGTGTGGCAGCGTGCCAGTTAGCACAGGGAGTGTGCATGTGTGTTTACCAGTGTGTGGCCAGTAAGTGATACAAACATGATGGCAGTGATGCTACTGCGGGACTTAGACTGAAGCATGGAGGAAAAGCCTGCAGCGTGACACCCCAGAACAGTCAACAAGATTCTCTGGCCTCCACTCTCCGCTAATGGATTAGATCCCTTCAAAGCTCAACACAAACAGAACAAGCTGATCCAACAGGACATCCTCCGACACTTTATTAGCACTCAGATTTAACATGTCAGTCCTAACGCTTCTAACGCAGTGCTGATCTTAACAACGCGTCTTGCACAAACTTCAAATTTCTCCCAACCTCCCTGAACACATTCTTTCTTCTCCCTCACTGTACGGCCAAGTAAGAACAAACAGGTATTGCTCAACAGACAAGCAGAACAGGATCTGTACTGTTCTGGAGCTACAGACATGCGCTCCTCACTCAATCACCCTGTCATGCATAGACTACAATCGCACAAGTACTCAAACATATACTGCCCTGCTACATCAGAATATCTCCTCCTGCATACTTTCTTGCACATTCACTACAACGTGAAAGCACCTGCAGCAGCATTTAGACGTACAGTTCATTTAAAAAGGGGAAAACTGTGTTAGGAAAGTGCAGACAAATTAATCAAAATTAGTCAATTAATGTTTAAAATCTAACGTGTCTAAGGCTGTATTAGGATTTACCAGATGATACAGTGCAAAAATCAAGCGCATCTGAAAAATACAGTTGATGCTCATCACATTGGTCTGGATGATAATGGAAAATTACATTGAAATCGTCATTTTCAACTTGCAATCTGAACTTGTATGTTGTACAACTGCATGATTTCCTTCTAGTGTTCATTTAGAAAATCAGATTTTGTGTCATGATTCAAATTATTGGGCAAAAAAAAAAGTTCCATCATAATTTCATTGATAGATGAGCTACAAATACTGGTATATTGTCGGAGCGATGCTGGGCAATCACAATATCCATTAATATTATTTCATACAGATACACAACATCATATTTCCTCTTCTAACATAAATTAATTTTAAGCACTTAAGTTCATCCAGAAGACCCCTTTAATGGACCTTTTGATTATTTACGTTCTGGAAAAAATGCTGGAGACACATGCAATGGTTTTATTAATGTATTTAAGGGCCATTATTAACTGGTATGAGGTTGAGAAACCTATGATTAATTACAATTGAAAAGTGATTGTTCCAAAGGGATTTCTCTAAATTATTTTTGACCATTTATAAGGCTGTTAGTTACAACTAATAACCCTCAGTAAAGGGTACGTTGTTATCATGTGTCATAATAATTCTGCTGATAGGATCAATGATAAAAGAGGAGAGGTGATATGCAACGACAGTCCTGGCCAGACTAGAACCAATGACGTGGCGATTATATGGTCCCCTCGGCCGCCGGGACACCGCTGAAATGATCATTTCTTTTATATTTTTTAATCATTGCCCAATTCTAACTACTAGAAAGTGTTGCACTGACACAGAACGCAAACACAACCAACAACTTTTTCCTCCAAAAAAACAGATGTGATTTTCCCTCTACAGGTTTGTGTCAGGAGTATCGTAAATGAAGGCTGAAGGTGTGCAACTAAAACCTAAGGAAAAGAACACAAGAAGGCGTTTAAAGTTTCCGCCGAGGCTGGTCATGAAGCCCACTGGTGGCCCCTTCCTCAGCTCAGAGAGTTAGATCACTAACACACAGTCTAGACTGGTGACTCAAAGGACTGAGTTAACCTGCCACTGAGGCCAATCCAGCGGGACTTAATCACTTCACAGTGAGTTTCGTTCAATGGGTGCACTGGAGTGTGAAAAGGACATGAACTCTGTGGATACTGAGGCAGCCAAACACATACACACACATACACACACACACACACACGCACGCACACGCAGGAGAAGGTTGCATAAAAAATTTATTCCAACCACTGAAGGAAGAACAGCAACAGAAATGTTGACCTTTGGAGTCACAAACACTTACTAGTTGGCCACGGGATGTGTGTGTGTGTGTGTGTGTGTGTGTGTGTGTGTGTGTGTGTGTGTGTGTGTGTGTGTGTGTGAAAAAAATTGGCATAACAGCACTCTATAACTGAAAGTAAGACTGTTCAGATTGGTCCTCTTGTGCATGATGCGTTGCTTAACTCTGGGATTAATGACCAATCAGAACGCTCACACTGAACTGATGCTCCAGAGATCAACACTGTGGAGGAAAGTGCACCAACCTGTTCCCCCCAACAATGCAGATGTATTTGGAAATCACTTCAGCTGTGACTATAGGCTTTGTTTGTTTGTTTGTTTGTGTGTGTGTGTGTGTGTGCGTGTGTGTGTAGTAGTAGTAGTAGTAGTAGTGGTGGCGGTGGCAGCAGCTAATTACAGCCAGAGGAGTCTCATTATAATATTTTTTACTAATACTAGTCATTTTACTAGTAACAAGGGCTTGAATGAATTATTCTATGTTTAGATTTCACCCAAAGCTTCATATTATTACTCTTTTAAAAAGCCATGTGCTGGTCTACTTTCCCAGCAGGTTTTTGATTTTTAACAAGTGCATTTCGATAAAAACTGCCAAGTGCATGTCAATAAAGACTGTTTTATAAGAGGAATTCTCAGAGTTATTGATGTCAATATATTTGCCATTAGCTTGTGCCACAAAAAGGTTTTTAAAAACAGCTGACTCTTGATTATTGATATCTATAGGCCTGCATCTATTTAAATGGTTAATAGATTATAGATTGACTGGCATATAAATATAGTTGTCCTCAGTTTTTCTTTTGTCTGGCCAACAGTCCAAATCTAAAACATTTCAATTTATTGTGAAGTAAGACCTTGAAAATCTTCCCATTAGAGAAGCTGGAATCATCAAATGTTTCAAATTTGTGCTTGAAAATGACTTTATCATTAAAACAATTATCAAAAATAATTTCTGAAGCTCATTCACAAACTGTTTCAGCTCTAATATGAACTGAAACAGTTTGTTTAAAAAGGATTAAAAGAAAGGGTGAGAATGTAGCACTCCTCTAATTAGATAAGATCATACGTGTAATTAAATTGTTTATTTTATTTTTTTTAAATCGTGATTTTGTAGGACTACTTTGCAAATATGCACTTGTTTGTACTCTGTTAGCTCTTGTTTTACTGGCATGCACTCAAGCTGCAAGTGTGACAAGTGGCCCCTCTATCAGACAATGTTCTCTTTACAGCCAGAAGTGAATAATTGACATCGTCATGATACTTGGCACACAATGCACTGCTTGTGATTGTTGGTTTGTTTTTGTTTACGCGCAGAGCAAACCAGCCTAGCCTAACGTCCGCCTGCACGCACAAGTCAACTAGTGTCTCTATCTGTCCCCAAGCTGCAGAGCAGGTTCTCATGTTTCTTACCTGTTTCAGTGTAACTACCGCTACCATGTTGTAGCAGTGTGTATAAGTGCAACAAAGCGCGTTTGAAGTTGTTACAAAGCAGTTTCAGTCGTGGCTGTAAATCTCATTAGACGCTACAGGGTGACAGGTGTGATTTTTCTCCTTATCAGCGCTTCATAAATCCCACGAGCCTCAACAGACGGAGGACGAGTCCAGTGGACTCACGGAGGAATGTGGTCCTAGCCAGAAATATCAGCCTCTTTCGGTCGAGTTGAGCTTCAAACATGTACTCAACTATAACCCACATATCATACTCTCACACCCCTACTAAGCTGTGTGTCTGTTTTGCGAACAGCGGAGCCGTTTAAGGCGAGAGAAGCTCTGGAAGTTACCCACCTTCTCTGCCCAGCGCGCCCGTCACTCCGAGCAGCACGACCCCGACAAAGACCAAACTTCTCGCCGCCTCCATCTGCTCCGACTCGCCGCTTCTAGTCCATATTCCAAAGCTGGATGTTTTAACTGTCCCCAATGAGGAGTTCCCGTATTTTCACCTCTCCTTCGTCCCAGAGGTTGGTTTTTTTTTTGGCACGGTTGTAGTTGTTGTTCCTTTCCCAATCTCAGTGACTTCCTCCCTGGAATTCCGTGCCTGTTGGTAGTAAAGCGTGACAGCGGCTGAGCAGAGGCGCGCTCCCGTGAAGGCCTGAGCGGGGAGTGGCAGGTTGAGTCAGCCCGCCCTCACTTCAAACTGCCTTATCTGCAGGGTAGTGCTGCTCTAACTTTCTGCATTTACAGTTCATCCTATTAAATGTTACTCTCTCAGTGAGAACAAAGTATCTGTAGTCTGATAATTTTTTTTATCTCCACTCCACTCAAAAATGTGCTTGCTTATTGCTAATTCTCTTGGATGTTTGACCTTCACTGTTCAGAATATAGAGTACTGTGCAAAAGTTTTAAGCACTTGAAAAAATGCTGTAAAGTTAGAATGCCTTTCTCTTAGGGATACTTGCTCGCAGTTTTTCAAGGTACTTGACAGGTAAGTTGCTGGAGAACTTCCTCTGTGGGTTCAGGCTGTCTCAGTGTCTTGTAATCCCAGACTGACTCCGTGATGTTGAGATCTGGGTTCTGTGGTGGCCACACCATCTGTTGCAGGACTCCTTTTCCTTCTTGTCACAGAAGACAGTTCTTTACGACTCTGGCTGTATGTTTTGGCTCATTGTCTCATGCTGCAGAATGAATCTGGAGCCGATCAGACACCTCCCTGATGGTGATGTGTGATGTATAAGAATCTAGTGTTTAAAACCTTTGCACAGTACTGTGTTTGCAGAGTTTGACATGAGAAGGCTGTTTAGACTTGTACTTACCAGCATGATTTTGTGACATCATTTGAAAACCAGTTCGTGCTCCAGTATGCAACTTACACAAGTGTGATGTGGAAACCTGAAACCTCCAGCGCACATACACTGAGACAGTAGGAGACATCTTATGTCCAGCAGTTAAACTTTTGAAAGGAAAAATATTTGCATTGCATAGTACTCGTAGCTTCTAGATTTTTTTAATGAGGGAAACATCTAATGTCAAAAATTTTTTACCATGATCTTTTACGTCTTTGTGAAAATACAATAATAACATACATGAACTGTCAGTCAAAGCAGAGTATTTTTATATGTCTCTAAACATGTCATGAGGGGATCTTTAAATAGGCTGCTTGGCACCCTCAAGCATGACAGTTCAATCATCCTAACAACCTTCAGAAGTCAAGTGATCAAGGTATCAGATATGATGAATCAAACACCAAGTATTTACCTCCTTTACTTAAGTAGCAGTAGCAATAACTATATTTAAAAAAGTTAAGTAACCGTAGGCGAAAGATTATCAGCACAAGGTTCTTAAAGGCGTACTCCAGTAGTCTAGAGTACTCTCATAAAGTTGAGGGGCTCGTGAGAGACAGATTTTAAAAGGAAATATCCTCACTTTTAGCCCCAAGTATGAGTTGCCCCAAAAACACAGGATCTCACATTTCCCATTATGCAATGATAGGGTTTTTTTTTTTTTTTTTAAATATGTGGTTTCATCTGTCAAATGAATCTACTGGAGAAAAAGTACAATGTTTCCGAAGTTTAAACTAGTACAAAACTGAAGCACTCGCATCTAGTACATATACCTCAAAATTAAACATTCACCTTGCCCCAGAATTCATCAGCCTCCCTTAAATTAGTCTGTGTTATTATACTTCATTTTACACTGTTATGTTTACAAACTCTAGCATCATTCTGGATATTCCAGTCCAGCTTTCTTTACCAGTGGATTTTTGGCTGCCATTGAATGTATAAAAGGGAAATGATTTGCATTATTCCAGCTTGGAGCATCTTCATGTTACTTTCATTTTTCTCATGCCCTTAACTTCATGGTCACAAATCAGGAGTTGAAGGAGGAAGAATAAACTCTATTCATCCAAATCTATCCACTCTTCCCCACCCACAGCAGCCAGGGGTCAGAGTCCAATGTACTGCACAGAGCTACCAGGAAACAACAAAAAGCTACTCACTGAGCCAGACAACACAAAGATCCAGACAAGGGTTAGTGGTCCTGGTCCTGTTTAAATGTTTAGTTCCCACAAAAAATAAGCTGATTTTCTGCAGCTCGGTGTCGCTGTGGCAAGGGACGGAGCCAATTCAGCATTCTGTTTGTAGGATTTTCTCAGCCGTAAACTCCTGGAGAATGAATAAAACCAAGTTTTATTGGGAGGTCTCAAGCATCAAATCTCGGATAAATTTGGCTGGTTCTGTTGAAACATGCAAATCCTCATATAAGTGATAAAAGTTTACATTAGGAGTTCAGCTGTGCAAATGCAAAAAAAAAAAAAAATGGCCCAGTAGTCAGATTTCCTATAGACTTATAACATGACAAATCATACAGGGAAGGGTTGCAAGAACTTGGCTGTAATTGTCTGGGACTCATAAAACATTAAATTTCATTGGGGGCTTTATGGGTTGAAAAGTGAGGAGGCCGACAAGTGGGGGAGAGATACTGTGTAGAAGTGAGTGAGTCCAAGGACAACTGCTGCACAAACCACAAAAAATATAGTTCCTACAAATTTAAGAAGGGCTTGTTTTGGACACCCAGTATCATCGCACAGTTTGACTTGCTTGCTTGGATCAACAGGCATAACAACTACAGGCCCAGAGGAATGTGCCTTGGTGATATTAGAGACATAATGAAAGCCTGCGCATTTAATACTGGCACAAATGGTACAAGGTCAGCAGGACCTTCAGACTGCAGTGGCAGAGGGGAGGGATGAACCACACACGATACATTTCACTTAGAGTGGAGTCACTTTTTGTGTCCCAGCGGCGTGACGCTCTGTTAGCGCCTCGATCGAGTCTGCTGTTGAACAGTGGTGGAGTGTAACTCATTTCAACCATTTGTCATTATTCATTCAACAACTGAAGTTAAGGACAATCATGAGGTACTCGTACTTTAGTTTTAGGCAACTTTATACTATTTAGAGTAAAATATTGTACAACTATTACTACTATTACTTTCAAAATTAAGATTTCATGTAAAACAATAATGATGACCTTATAAAATACAGAGTAGAGAGTTTCTTGAAACCAAAAGTTTCCTGCATCTGTCTATTTCCCTCCTACATTTCTAGTCACTGGTATTTAATAGTGTAACAATTCCTCCTGTTTTCATGCATATTCAGAGGATTACTCTAACAGATCACTGAAGAAGAGAATCACATTCACACTACAAAAACCAAGTCCCGTGTAGGGAAGAACACACAGGAGAGCCTTATCAACAAATACACTTTTATTTGTTCCATTTCTTTAAGATTTTTTTTTCTTTTTGGTCAAATATTCGATGTGAGGTGGAGGAAAGTGCACTCAGTTGGAGAGGTGATGGTGCACAGGGCAGCAGGCAGGGGGCAGTAGATGATTGGGGGAAGTGGAGAGACTTGGTTACTATTCAGGAAGAAGGAAATGAACAACAAAATGATTTACAGAGCAAAAACCAGAGTTTGTTAAATGCTAATTCCTCTTGGAACGGATACCAATGTAATGATTTAGCAAATTATTTTCTCAACAGTAGACAAAGCATTTGTAGTTTTGAATAAGTTATGATTTTGTGATGTATTGACATGACATTCTGTTCAAATGGTCATTTCTTGTTTTTGCTTTTTAGATGTTTGTCACAGCTGGGCCTCAAACACCATTTCATGAATGTCAGTGGTTAATACTGTAAATATTAACCAATATTAACCATTAACTAATATAAACACTTTTTGCCAATCAAATAAAATATGTACTACTAATTTTTTTTCTTATCTCATGAGGCCAATATCTCTAACATGATTTGAGGAATCTTTTTGCCACCCAGACCAATGACAACCTCTCCATGTGTTTTGTCCTCTGTCTTCCCCCACCCCCATCACAGGCTGTCAGCAAAGCTAAATTTACCCGTTGTCTCACACGCATTCAGGCAGCAAACCTTCAACATATACATACACACACACACACACACACACGCACACATCAGTATTTTTTACAAAAGGATCACACACAATCTAGCTCTCACGCACACACGCACACACATACAGTGATTCAGTTTATGATGGCAAAAACAACACAATGTCGAGTCAAGGCAACGTGTACACACATACTGGCCATTGTTCACATTCTCACACAGAAATACAAAGGCATGGGCAGAATTTCAAACAAAAACGCACGTAAATGTACACACACGCCCATAAAGTGCACATATGGAAGGGAAACTCTGAGGGGTGAAGACATACATGGTATGAGTTCAAGAGTTTTGCTCAGAGGGAAAAAAAAAAATCATTTGATACAAAAAAGAAGAAACATGCTCATTGGCTAGCAGGTTCTGATACACTGTGTAAGGCAGACATGGAGGGAAATGGAGTATTTTATATGATGGGGCAGGTATCTGTAAAGCAGTTGGCTGTGCGTGTGTGTGTGTGTGTGTGTGTGTGTGTGTCTGTGTGTGTGTGTGTGTGTCTCATTCTGGGGAACATTGCAGCAAGAAATGCAACCAAATCCAAATACCGGGTGTCAAGCGAACACCTAGACATTCATTCTCACACACACACACCCTCTAACCCCAGAATTTATTAGAAAACTCTTTATGGTTTTAATTCCTACCTCAATCATTTTCTCTTCCCTTTCCCTCACGCTTAAAGGCAATCCAGGTGAATTAAAATAATATTTCCATTTTATGATCATCGGGAATATCCCCACCCAAATTAAAAATCCAATAATCAAAGTAAAACAAGATAAAGCACAAACTGGTCAACAACAATGGAATTAAAACAACTAAGGCAACTGATGAAAATGAAAATAAAAAATCTAAAATGATAATGAAGAACATAAGAAAGAAAAGCAGCAATGGAAACAACAGAGGCACAAAAATAAAGGTGTGATGGTGAGAAAAGAGAAAAAAAAAACACAGTCAGCTAGAATGGCCTCCAAACATAAACCCCCTTCCCCCTCTCTCTAGATCAATCCGCTGGCAGCCCCCTCCCTTTTCACAAGGGGCACCTCTCTGTGTCCGCCAGTCCACTTTTGGCACA